CGAAATAGGTCGTTAAAGAGTAGCGGTGATTGTGCCTTGTTTGCCTGGTTGAAAGTGGACTAAATTCAGAACAGGAATTTAGAGAAACCTTAGAATTGGCAAGTTGGTGTAAAAATTTTAAAGGGCAATCTTACGTCGGTGTTGGAGGGTAGGTATATTGTTTGTCTGGATTAATAATGATGGGGAATCGGTGCGTTTGAATTTACCATAAACAAAGCGAGCAGCGCGTCTTTGAACTTTTTCTAGAGTGTCGGAATATTTTTTTGTTGATGAATCCCATTCTATGAAACAATATTCGAGTTTGGGTCGAATGAGAGAAGTGTGGGCTAACAATTTACCGTTTGGGGTGCGTTCTGAAGTTCATACCGTACAAGATCAAACTTAGGGAAGGCTCCCGAGGAAACATTTTTCACGTGATCGGACCAACTCGGGGTTTATTGATGGTAAAACCAAGGTATTTAAATTGATCAACTTCAGAAATGAGGAAATCCTTAATCGAATAGGAATTTGTAATTCCTATTCAATTATGAGGAAGTCCTTAATTGAATAGGAATTATTTATTTGTAATACGTAAAAAAACGGCTTTGTCCTCATTTAACCTTATAACCCACAGGTCGCACCAGTCTTGTATCGCACCAAGAGCCGAGTTAAGCAAGCATTGATCAGATGATGACGCTTTACTTTTAAATAACACACAGTCATCCGCTAAAAACCTTATACTTAACGAAGGAGCAACTGCGTCAACAATATCATTTGCATAGATTAAAAACAGTAATGGCCCCAATACGCTGCCCTGTGGCACTCCTGACGTTACATCCAGCGTTTCCGAACAACAACCCCCTACGTCGACGAATTGTTTGCGATTTAATAAGCATGAGCGAACCCAGTTGACGATTGGCGAAGGAAGACCTTTATTATGCAGTTTTGATATTAGTTTGCCGTGGGGAACCCTGTCGAAAGCTTTACCGAAGTCTAAAAAGATAACATCTACCTGGCCTGCCTTATCCAGTATTTGTGCAAACTCGTAAATGGTAGTTAGGAATTGTGTTGTGGTTGAAAGGCCTTTTCTAAATCCGTTTTGAAACTGGGTCAGTAAATTATTTTCACATAGATGTTCTCTAATAACATTACTAATGATGTTCTCAAAGAATCTAAAACATCTGCACGTTGGAGAAATAGGTCGGTAATTACTTGGTTATAACGGGTCACCTTTTTTGAAAACTGGTATTACACTTGCAGTAAGCCAGTCATTTGGCAACACACCCGAAGAAAAAGAAGCACGAAAGATTATAGTCAAAAACTTTGCCATGATTACTACGTACCGGTTCAAAAATGAATTCAGCATGCCATCTGAGCCGCACGACTTTTTTTACATTTGGGTTGAAACCCATTGAATATATGCCTTGATAAGATATAAAGTCAGCAGTAAAAGAAGAGCCGTCGTCATACTCAGGCACGTCAGGGGCAGAAAAGACTGACTGAAAGTACCTATTGAACTGCCCAGCAATTTCACAATTGATCGGAAATGAAAACGTCGTTTACTTTAATCTTATTGAGTTTTGTTTGTTGCCAAGGTTCCTCCAAAATTTATCTGGATCGTTTTTTATGAAGTCAGGGAGCGGGAATGAAAAGTAACGTCGTCTCGCCAGTTGTACGTGCGTCCGTAATTCACTTTGAAGTTCAGGAATTTGAGCTTTATTGCGGTTCCCCTTTTTTCTGGGCCGCTTGATTCTACGTTTAAGGCGGATTATTGTTAGATTAAACCATGGGTTTCAACGCTTAACACGTTTACGTACACTAGGAACAAATGTATCAAAGCAGTAATTACATGCTCGTTTGAACTTATTCCAGGTAATATTAACATCAGAGTCATTAAAGTTGTCTAGTGTCTTCTAAAGGAATTATAATAGAATTATGTTCAGAACGAGAAAAATCTTTGACAATCTTAATGTTAGCTTTTTTGTTGGTTGACTGGATGTTTAATGAGCAACGAAAGTGAACAAGTTTGTGGTCAAAAATATTCTTCTCAACCGAAACTGTATATTCTGTAACACTTCAACTAATAAAAACAAGGTCCAGAATAGAACCACTACATCTGTGTTCGTGTGTTACCTCATTGACAACTTGCAAGAGGTCGAAAGCAAACATGGTGTCAAAAATGTCAGTGTTTTCACAAGTGCCAGGTGACAGTTTCACCCAATCAACATTGGGTAGGTTAAGGTCACAAACAATTATTTTTTATTGTTTCGGTGAGATAAATGGTTGCACAATTTATGCAGAAATTCAGGAGGAGAATTAGGAGGTCTGTATACAGCGTACAATATAAAAGCGTGCTATCTTTTATGTGCTAACTTTCAAACACAAGCTATAATGTTCATCTATTTGGTCCAAAAACAGCGAAATCGACATTTTGTTTTAACGCGAGAGGTAACCCCTCCAGGTGATTGGCGGTCTTTCCTAAATATTTTATGAGATGCTATCATAACCAATGTGGTCACAGTCATGTCTCAGAAATCACTGTAATTGGGGGATCATGGGTTAACAACACTGAGTCAAGATGTTCAACACTGTTCACAATGCTTCGAGCATTTAAGTTTAACACACAAAGTTTTTTAACCGATGGGTTTTCTGGTTGTCAATTTGGTGGATTTGGCAATGACAGAGCGGGAAGTTTGACACGCGCGTTCTTTCTATCGTTCCAAACATACTAGTCATCATCGGCTCGCAGTTTGTCGTTAGAGATACCCTTTTCCCTGCCGTTATCGGCTTTTGCACTTTCCCGGAGAAATCTTCGTTTAGACAAAGTGTATCGCGAATAGTCATTCCTTATGTAGATAGTCGATCCGTTTAATTTCTTTGTATTGTGTAGTACAGCTTGTTTTTCAATATAATACTTAAAAAACAGAACAACCGGTCTTCGGCCACTACTTTTTCCGAGCCCATGTATTTTGTCAATCGAAGCACATTTCCCCCCAAGCCTTTGCTCAAAGACTTCAAATATCACTTTGCTCCTTGATTGCGACTCGGTTTCTGTCTGTTTCCGGAATTCCATACATAAGAAGATGGAATGACTGCTCCGATCTTCAAGAGCGGCAATTTTACGGTTTTGGGAACTAAGGGAATCCTTAAGGGTTAAAATGGTTCGTTCAAGCACCTCGATTTTCTCTGTTTTCACCCTAAGTTCCTTCAGTAACTTCTCAACATCGGACAATTTTATACGCAATTCATCGACCTTAGCGTCTGTTGAACTCTGTTGTTTTCTGACAGTTACAACTTCGGTTTTTATAGCATTTTGTCCCTCCATGATTTGCGCGAACATTTCTTCAGTCGTGGGACCCGGATTGGTCTGAATATCACCACAAAGATTCAATTTGCATACATTAAAACAATCACTAGCAATGTCAAAAAAGGTTTGTGGGCCCGGCACAACTATTATTGTAAGATAGTCACTTTTGCATAAAGATATTTTGCTACCAACCTAGACAAAGAACCACATTGGCTTAGCGATCGTCATGCTCCTGTGACGTTCGCCGAGCCCACGTTGTCACTCAACTCGAACGAGTCCAGTGACAACGTGCCTGAGACGAGAACGTCACTCTTCTAAACATAAATTGTGAGCAGAGCTTCGGGCGCTCTTTTTGGGAGCAATTTTCAAATCTGGCGAAAAATCGCAAAAACCTATCGACGGCTCAAAAAACCATTGCCTGTAAGCAAACTCTTTAAATTGGCGTGGCCCCTAATAGTTATTTCGGTCAATAACGCAATTGCAACGTTACCCTTAAAACCAATATTTAGAAAGTTACTCACCACGTGTTAATTACCCAACTTACAGTGACGGTTATTCCCTTAATTAATGTCCTTTGAGCCTCATAAATAAGTGCTGGATATGCAGCCATGTAACTCTCATTTAGTAGGGTACGTTGTTGGGCTAGTTGGTTCATCTTAGTAAAACATATGAAATAGCACAACAAAAAGACAAGGACAAGAAGTATACAGACAGGCGCTACTCATTCTTTTTTTTTTAATTAGTTCGAGATAAAAATAGACAGCCCGCCTTTTTTCATAGTGCAGGGCCCATATCTATTTTATTTGAAGTATACCTACACTAACTAGGAGACATCATTATAGCATGACAAGCAGTCTTTCCAAACGTCACCGAAACTAATATTTATCTTTGTTCGTGATGCTTACCGGTTCAATATTAAAAACATGCTACAATCAACGTTCGCGGTCAGTGGAGGTCGTTGACAGCATTCTTAATAAAAAAGCACTGTTTAATAATTACATGCTCCCCTATGTTTTAAAGGCATTTGCATTTCGGGCAGCGATATGATTGGTATACTATCATATCTTATATCGAATAAACTAATAAGCACAAAATCTATTAGTTGATACTATTTCTAATTTTTTAGTTTGTTCCCTGTTTTTAGTAGATTCAAAAATGTATAGTATACCAGCTCACCAGTGAAAATACCCATGTTTGAAGAATAGAACCAAAGGAAAATGCGTTAAAAGCTCAATCGAACGTGCTTTCGTGTCAAACCATCTTGTGATTAATTCTATTTCTACCGAATGCATTACATTACATTACCAAAACAAAACACCTCGTTGCATAGGAGTAAATGAAAAAAAAAGCTACATTGTAGAAATAATTAGACAACAGCTATCATGTGTAAGTTCTAGGGACGAATAGGAGGCGCGTGATGAAAAAGTAAGCGATATTCGGGGACAACTTTTCTTGGCAATGCAGTGGAAGGTACAGGCAAGGGTTCCCTCTCCCATTTTGAGCGCTGATTAAAGCTGTGCGCGGGCCCTTCTCTTTCCACCGGAAATGCCAACAAAAGTTGTCGCTGAGAAGATTCAATACAAATATAGTCTAGACGGCCTTGTCATTAAAATGGCGATTTTATATGTATAGTTTCTAACCATAGTCCGGCATGTATGGAAAAATAGTGCAGGTAGTCTTTAGCATGTTTAATATATTTTATCGCAATTTGAAGGACCATGACCAAGAATGCCCCGAGAAGTTAGTGTACTGCGACGACTGTTCGGACAAGGTTCTACGGAAGGAGAAGTTCAAGCATGCCTCCGAGTGTCCAATGCGTGTTGTGTACTGCGGGAACTGTGAAGGGTTTTACGCCTACTCTTCAGAAAAGGTGAGGGATAAGCTCGCGATTAATTGTACTAGGGTACCGGGAACGTGTCTTCGGTTGGTTTGTTTAGGCCTCTATCGCTCCATGACATCAAAAGTGGTCCCAAAGGGATAACAAATGACGTCACAAAAGCAAAAGTGTCATATTATTGGATGTGGCGATCTTGGAGTTTGGTGCTACAAGTCATGGCGAAAAGTATAGTTGAACGCTGGCGTCAATGTCGTCGTAGAGACCGAACTCCTGGCTGCTGAAGCTTCAGTGCCCCTGTCAAGGTGGAAAACGACCTGCAGAAGAACAATGTGTGAAAAGGCTGTGACGCCGCCAGGATCGCGCCCGGCGTCATGACACTTCTCTGACGTCATGAGGCGCAGCTGGACGGACTACTTTTTAGGAAGCGAGAAACACTCCAGTCCGAGACGTGTCCCACGTATAGTTGTACGTAGTGTTGCCGTACACTTTGTTATATTCACGTCGTTTGTTCCGAAAACGTTACAATGTTAGATTGTGTAAAGGGCTACTCAAGACCAAGTAATACTTAAAATAGATACTATGTTTGTATAGCTATAAATAGGTATACAAACATACATTAATATCTATACTTAAAATATATATTAATGTATGTTTGTATACTTCTTTATTTTATTTAATTAGGTACACTTTTGTTCATTCTCCTACTGATTCGTACGGGAGGGCGATATAGGTCGGGTTTATTAAAGACTTCTGCGGATAGTTAGCAGTTGGGGTCGCTGATGCTTTGCACCACAATTTCTACGATGCTTCGTGAAGTACAGGCTTGTGAGATGTTTTGTTTCACGCTATACAATAGACTTCAAAGCTTTAATAGCACGAAATAGTTGGGCGGTTCCTTTTGAGTTCAGGAAGTGGAGTAAATTTGTAATTTTTGACTTCCTGTAAACTTTCAAATGTTGTGGTGTGAACCACATAAAATACAACGCACTACATCTGAAAGCTCAGATATGTTTAGTTTTTAAAGAATAAAACTCATCATGAGCGTGAAGGACGACAGAATATTTTATTGTCGTCACTGACTTGTTATATTCGCGCTTGAGTCCTATATATTCACCACAAATACTTCATGCATCTGAAAAAGAAAGAAAAATCTAATTTATTTTTGTAGTGAAGCCGAGCAACCAACCTTTTCTTACAGCCTAGTCAATGATGACGAAATGCAATATTGACACATTATTGTCTTTAATCAACTTAAGCTATAGATTTTTCTTTAAAAAAAACGTGTTGGCGAACGAAGATTTAAATGTAGAGGTGTCATTTGCTGTAATATATTTGATGTTATTACCCAGGAATGATAATGCTTGATCATAAATATACACTTCAAATAATTAAAAATGATAAAGAATAAATTTTTGCTGGAAATAATGATTTCTATTATGTATAGCAGGTTTCAAAGTGATAGAAATGTGTAATTGAGAATGCAATGTTAATCTGTTTGTATTAATATAATAAAAGTTGTACCCAAGTAACTCTGCTTCAAAGCAGCAAGAAGTAAAAAAAAATAGTTCCACATCAACGTGGTTTCTTGACTGCAATACTTCAAAGTTACGCTGGTACACAAGAAATTAAGATAAACTGCTAGTGTTAAAAGCTCTTGGTTTTGTTACATATACCAGGTGTCATTTATGATTGTAGTTGTTGTGTTTGTTGATTTTTCTAGATAGACTGAGCCTTGATCTATATATCTAATTACAGGAGCACAAAGAGCAGTGTGAAATAAAGAAACTTGCTTGCGAGTACTGCACATTGGAACTGAAAGGCGATGATGAAGTGAGTATTGGTTATAAATGTCAAAGCGGGCATTTTGCCGAACTCTTAGAGTATGATGTTAAAAGTCGGTGTCTATTCTCCCGGCTGCAAGTAGAATAACTTCTTTGAAAATCCATCGGCAGTCACCTTCTATTGGCGGCGGCAATCAGTTCATAGAACGACATTTCGTCGACAAATCGTTTCATCGACAACCAATGTTTCGACAGATCGTTTCATCGACAGCTGAGATTAGCTTTTCCTGTAATGAGCCGTCCCAGACTGTCATCGCGAAGCGGCGTTAACGGGTGGGCCAAGTAGGTTATCACGCGCTCCAGTGACGCGCGACGAGATATCGCTCCAGCCTGTAATTCGCGTAACGCGTAACGAACGCTAATTGACCTAGAAAATAGAGGAAGGCGAAATAATCTACTTATATTTGGCTTATCCGAAAAACACAACGAAAGCACTGAGGAACTGAAGCGAACCGTAACGAAAGATGTCTTCCTGGAGACTCTCGGCATCACAGTAACTTCGATTGAGCGAATTCACAGACTTGGACGTAAGCGCGAGGAAACGAATAGACCGGTCATCATAAAGTTCTTCGACTAGAACGAGATAGAGGAAATATTTAAAAACTGTAGAAAACTAAAAGGAACTAAGCTCAGTATCAGTAGTGACTACGCAAAAGAAACAGTGCAAGTAAGAAAACTGTTATGGGGAAGCGCGGCATCGAACAGAGCAAAGGGCGATAAGGTATCACTTGTACATGACAAGCTGAAGATTAATGGTGAAACATTTGTGTGGGATCTTAATCTAAACCAGCGACGTCGTGTTCAACCCAGTGGGGCAGCCTACAACTGACGCGATGCAAGGGCGGCTGAAAACGATCCACCTGTATTGAGAGTTATTAGCCTAAACGCCCGAAGTGTGGTTAATAAAATTGAAGCTCTAGAAATTTTGTTTCTTGCCCACAGTTCCCATGTGGTAGCTATTACAGAAACATGGCTAAACTCCAATATAGAAAGCGATTGCATTGTTCCCCCCAATTATAAATTAGTTAGGTGTGATAGAACTACCAGAGGCGGGGGTGTGGCTATTTGTTTGAGAAATGACATTGATTGTGTGGTGCTTGAATGCGACTGTGATGAATCTGTTTGGCGCCGAATTTCTTATTACAGTCGAACGTTCCTTTTCGGAGTGGTTTATAGAACGCCAAACGCACCAGTAGAATTTTTGGAGGGCTTGAATGAGTTTTTGTGCAAATATGTAAATGATACAACCAAGGTAATCATGACTGGAGATTTTAATTTGCCCCATGTAAATTGGGCTCTTTTGACAGCTGGTGGCATTGATATCCTTAACGGAGAAAAAATAATTGACATAACGCTTAATCACAACCTTACCCAAATAGTCAAGGAATACACTAGAATCACCGACCAGTCTCAGTCAACATTAGACCTTGTCTTTATTACAGAAAACATATCGGATTACGAGATTTCAATTGTAAAAGGAATTTCAGACCATAAAATGATTTTGTTTACGATTCCACTACCACGACAGGGTCATTGCAGGGTTGCTAGGCCCCTAATTGTTAAAGACTTTACTCGCGCAGACGATACAAGTATTATAGATTACTTAGAGACATCCTTAGAAACATTAGACCAACTAAGCATTACAAGTACAGTAGATGATCTGTGGAATTTTTTTAAAACTACTACTTCCTTTTGCATTAATTCCTTTGTTCCCAATAAAACTAAAAAGACATATCGCACAAATCCCTGGATAACGCGTGAAGTTATTCATCTAAAACGTCAAATCAAAAGGCACAGAAAAGGTTTTAAAGAACATATAAATGCTCTAAAAATTAAATTAAAAACATCACTGAAACAAGCCAAAGAGAGATTCTTTTCAGTGACTCTTCACAACTTTATAAAAAGTGCCCCTCAGAAATTCTGGCGTTTCTTAAGAGGAAAGAGGGAAATGATAGAGCAGATTGTTGAAAACGATGTGGTCATTACTGACAGTGCAGAAATGGCAGATCGGTTTAACGTGTTTTTCCAATCAGTCGTTTCAGCTCACGTGGTACAAAATCTCGATGAGGCCTTTCATTCTGATATTGAAACGAGTACGCCAGAAATAGAGATAAGCCAGTCCGGAATATTTGCTAAGCTATTGTTACTAGATACAAAAAAATCAACAGGCCCGGATAAAATACCGAATGAATTCTTAAAGCGATATGCAGAGTGGCTATCTTTTTATTTAAAAATTATCTTCGACAAATCATTACAAACGGAGTCACTCCCGCAAGATTGGTTATCCGCACGTGTCGTCCCTGTGTTTAAAGGAGGAAGCCGCTTTACGATAGAAAACTACCGGCCTATTTCATTGACCAGCGTTTGCTGTAAAGTGATGGAGCACGTCATTTCAAAATATATATTTACTTTTTTAGAGGAGCGAAAGACGTTATACTCTCATCAGCATGGCTTTCGAAATGGTTTGTCAACCGTAACGCAGCTTGTTGAAACGTTTCATGATTTTTCTTTATCTGTAAATAATAGGGAACAGATCGATGTAATTAGTATAGACTTTTCAAAAGCATTCGACTGCATACCTCACAAAAAATTATTATTAAAATTAAAAAAGATAGGGTTGTGTGATAAAATCGTTAACTGGATAGAAGCATACCTGTCAAATCGGAGTCAAAAAGTTGAGATAAATGGAAACATATCTCCACCTCTATCTGTAACCTCAGGAGTCCCGCAGGGCTCAGTCTTAGGACCATTATTGTTTTTGATATATATAAATGATATAGCTACGCATATTGCAGAACCAGTAAAACTAAAACTTTTTGCAGATGATTGCCTTCTTTACTCTGTCATAAACAATACTAATGATCAATTAGCTCTTAATAGGAACCTGGAAAATCTAAGGCAATGGTGTGAGGACTGGCAAATGCAAATAAATTTTCGTAAGTGGACATATATCCATATAACGAACAAAAAAAGCGTTTTGAAATTTTGTTATAATATAGGCAATGTTAATTTGAGTGTTGTAAACAGTTTTAAGTACCTTGGTGGGGTGATCTAACACGATTTGCAATGGCGCACCCATATAGATAATGTCTACTCCTCTGCCTATCGAAGTTTGTGCTTTCTTAAACGAAAGTTAAAACATGCAACTAGTAATGCCAAAATCACAGCTTATAAGACAATGATCCGTCCTATTTTAGAGTACGCCAGCATTGTATGGAGTCCAAACAAAAAGTAGACATCAATAGACTAGAAAAAATTCAAAGGCAGGCTGCACGTTTCATTCTTAATAAATACAAACGAACAGACTCTGTGACTGAAATGCTTAGCCAGTGTGGACTTCAATCATTAGAAACTAGACGGAGAATAGCGCGGCTAAAGTTCTTATTTGCGTTGTATAACAATCACTTAAACATTGAACCTGAACTGTATTTAAATGAAACACATAAACGATCGCGCAGATTAAATCACAACAAAACAATCCAACCCTATAATAGTAGGATAGACGTTTTTAAATATTCATTCTTTGTGCAAACAATTGAAGACTGGAACCAACTTCCAGATTATGTCATTAATTCTGCAAATATGTCCCAATTCGAGTCTTCTTTAGAAAAGATATTTACCCAGCAATAAATAAGAGGGGCGTTTTTCCTTTTTTTCTATTTCACTTCTTTTTACAAAGTGTGGCGATATGGTTCACGTTGTCTTCAATTAAAAATTGTATAACAGTCTTCTTCTATTACGTACATATGTATAGAGTTCAAATTTTTGATATGACTGTATATATATTGTTGTTACCTCTCCTGTAATAGCCTTCAAGTGAAGGCTGACAGTATTCTTAAATAAAAATAAAAAAGCGAGTGTCAATGAAACGTGTAACTATGAAACGTTGTCCACGGAACGTGTTTGTACGAAATGCCGGGATGATAAGAAAGTTAGTATCCTAACGGCAGCCGTCACATGATTTCAGACAGTCAATGGGAGATGATTCTCGGTAGACTTTCGGGGATTCTGCCGGCTGCCGAGAGGATAGAGCCGGCCATATGTTTAGATTGTTTGGGCTGCGCGAAGCACTTTGCTGTTCGCGAACGACAGGGTTAATTGTTCATCTAGTACTGGCACGACAATGATTTATTTAAGCAACCTTGAAACTTAATTTTCGGTGTATCAAATGATTCATTAGGTACCACCTTCCATTCGCAAAATTATGGTCCCTTTCATCCAACAATCATGGCAAAGGCAGCTTGAATTTACTCTCTCGACGGATATTAAACATTATTAATATTATTTGTATATTATGATTAATAATAGTAATAATAATAGTATTCATAATCATAAGAATATTAGTCATTTGAATTCAATAACATCTATGAAAGTGTACAAGACTGCGAGGGCAAACAAAGCCAACAATGGCTTGTGTGACGCCGCCGAACTAAAAGTTAGGAAGTGAATTGCAAAATAATGTCCGAAAACAGAGGCAGCAACTGTCGCTCAAAAAAAAAAAAATCTACAAAAGCAAAGTTCAAAACAGCTTGGAAAACAACAAAAAGCAAGATGACAATTATAATACATAGTTGGCACGTACTAGATAGAAAAAAATCATTAGGAACGCAAATCGTTTAAGACATCAGGCACATAATATTCGTGTGCAGACCTGCCGTGTGGAGTCCGCACAATGGGAATTTTGAGTCTCTTGGAGTCGAAGCGAACAAAGTGAAGGGTGTTGGGTTTTAAAATCGTCTGACCAAAAGTACCTTAGGACAACAGTTTGAATAAATAGTGCTCGGAGGAGGTGGCAATTTCAAATAGGAAAACATGTCAGTACGCTCGGAGATTTTGATGCCATAGGAAGTACTTTTCGATATATTTCTTAATAGAATCAATTTTGTCATAGCAGTAGCCGGAAGAGTGTCCAAACACCGTAACCCCATATCTTAATACACTTTATGCAAGCGCATGAATGATTATTTTACGTACTGAAAAAGGCATAAGTGATTTTCTATTATATAACAGGCAACACTTTTTTCCGTTTTGCAAAGAGGGATGTAAGTAAAGTTCAGGTTAAACCACAGTCGAAAACAATACAAAGCTATATTACACTTTCGTGTAATATAGCTTTGTTTTTTTTTCCGCTAAAACTCATAAGCCGGATGTGCCACTCCGTACCATTGTGAGTGAAAAAGGTGCTTGGCAACAGCATGTAAGTCGGTATCTTTTGAAAGCGTTGAACAGCCTGCAGGTGACAGACCCATTCGTCACGAAAAAGTCTGACGAGGTGGCTGATTTCTTCAAAGATAACCAATGCATAGGGTATGCCTTTTCCATAGATATTGAGGATCTGTTTTATTCGGTTCCTCACTGTGAATTGTTTGAGGCCATAAGGGCATATATAGATGAAAGTGGCATCATTCCTTTCCAGAACGAGGCAGGAGTGACTGTTGACAATTTTTTAACTGTACTAGAAGCGTACCTTAATAGCACCTTTGTATCGTTTGATAACCAGCTGTTTTTACAAAAAAGAGGCATATGCATTGGGTCGTGCGTGGCTCCCATTCTGTGTAACATTTTTTTAGCAACGATCGATTGCACGCTTGAAAAAACTCTCAGTGATTTTAACGTTTTTAAAGTGTTTAGATACGTAGATGATTTTTTGATTCTTTTTAATGAACGTTCGTCCTTGACGTACCTTGACGATATAAACTCTGTTTTAGAAGCTTTTAGACACAATGGGAAAGGATTAACATTCACCCATGAACTGCCTAAGCAGGGTAGTTTACAGTTTTTAGATTTAAGTTTTAAGGTTTTAGTACGACACACGTGTTGGATGTACGCCCCGCGGTCCCAAAAGGAACTCTTGCCGTATGATTCTGCGCACTCTAAGGTGATAAAAAGAGGTATCGCTATGCTATGCCTAGAGTCGGCTCTTAAAAGGTCGTGCTCACACCGGATGAAGACAAGTTTTAAGAACCAGGTGACAAGGCTATTGTCAGCGGGCTACCCTGAAAAGGTTGTGACGAGTGTCGTAGAAGGCATTCTTCAAAAGGTAAAAGGCCATACCACGACGGCAAAGGCGAAAACGGCGCGGTGTCGAATGAGACCTGAGGTGGTACCGTATGTGCACAGAATGTCGCACAACCTCAAGAAGGTGGCGAACCGCTTTGGAGTGCCGCTCGTGTTCTCAGCACCGTGCAAACTCGGCCAACTATGCTTTCGTATCACCGGTGGCAGCGGTAAGAAACAGGCTGCACCACAAAACATGCCAGGCCATATGTTGATTGTGCCACGGGGGTGGTTTATGAAATCCCCCTTACGTGTGGGAAGTCCTACGTAGGACAGACGGGCAGGTGTACGAACGACCGACTAAGAGAGCACGCGCAAAATTTAAAGAAGAATGATGGGGCACATTTGCCTGAACACTGCAGCAAATGCCGGTGTGAGCCACGTCTTTCTGAGACAGCGATTCTGGGCAGAGGCAAGTGCCAAAAAGCGCGCGAGTTATTAGAGGCGTATTTCATTAGAAAAAGGGGTGCACAATGCGTAAGTGACACATCTGTTGCACTCTATAATGCCGAGGTTAGATTATTTGATAAGTTTTTGTAAATTGGGCGATAAGCGTATGTCACATGGCTAAGCGCGTGCGTGGACGAGGTGAAGATGACGAGGATTGTATTCCTTTCTTTCTGCACTTTTCAAATATAGTTGTGAGTGGCGCCTGTTTGTCTCTTTCTCTCTTGTGTCCGTGTTTTTGGGCCTTGTAACATGAATACCAACGTTTACCAACTAGCCCAACTACAAGTTCTTCTACACTTTCGACATATACTAAAGGAAGTTATTTGCAAAATACTCATTTTGAGTGATCTAGAAGAATAGGGAAATCCAGTCGCACGTATTTAAAGGGATTATAGGCACAAATTGTTTTTGTGTTCTTTACATTGATGTCCATAAGACTTTGCTCAAACCAATCCATGCCCGTACCCGCAGCGCATTGCATTGAACGGGCAACATGTTCGTAATTAATATGACGCGTGACAATGACCGTGTCGTCTGCATAATGATAGTTTGGCCCCAGAAACAAATGTATGAATGTCATTAGCAAAAACATTAAGCAGAAATGGATATAGAATGGCGACATGAGGTACAACTACTCTCGGTATTGTTCGTGGACTTGGCGACTCTGCTGCAATTTCTGCCTGATATCTTTGTTCAGCTTGCCCATCGTAAGAATAACCGAACTGGCTCAGCTTAACCGCGTGAAATTAAAAGTTGTAAGCTATTTTTGTAAGGTAGGCTGACAGAAGGGAGAGAGAAAAAAAAAACTGGCAAAAAACCCAAAACTGTTAACCTTCTTCAGTAGATGTGAATGGCTAACAATATCAATTGCTTTTGATTAAAAAAAATCTCAGCTAACATGGTGTTTTTTAAAACAGAAATTAGCTAATATGCAAAGTCCTCGAGCACCTTCTGTGTTCCCCTCCCCTGAAGAAAACTAAACTGACCTGGATGAAATGTCAATATAAACATCCAGAAATGACGACATAACATGAACATGTATTTTCCTAGAACTTGTGCAATAATCGGGAACAGAAAAATCGGGCGGCAGTTTTCAATCCAATTTGCTGCTCCACGTCTGAAAAAGGGCCTCACAATGGCGGCTTTTAATTCTTCCAAAATGTCGCGACTAATAAAAAAAAAAACATTAAGCATATGAAGAAGTATGTGTTTTATAACCATGTAATAATAATAATAATAATAATAATAATAATAATAATAAATTTTTATTTGTACAAACATTTCACAAGGCAGATACTTGGGTCTGTCAAAGCCAGAAGAGGCTTGTGGGACAGCACCCTACAGTTCATGCTTGAAAGAGTCCCCACAAACAAGAAGTTCAAAACTCAAACACAGCTACAGACACAGAACAATGTAGGTAATGACGGTTATTTCCACATATGCACACTAAAATATAGTTACAACTTCTCCCTAACACCTTGGAGTGATTCTTTAAATTTTTTAGAGCCTACAGTATAGATATTATCTGGTAAATTGTTGAAAATAAATGGAACGTAAAAATTTCGCACTTTGTTTTCGTACTTCGTTTCTGCGAAAGACACTTCAAACCATTCAGCATGCCGAAAGGGTCTACATTGGATGCGATCGAGGCATTTTAAAAGTATTGCTCCAGAAGTATTTTAGAACAACCGTGTTTACAGGTAAAGGATTAAAAAAGGCAACTCCAAGCATGTTAGCATTTCTTCTTCAGTTTGTGACACTGCACCGTGCACAATACTTTTAAATATTCCTTTCATGGCTGAGTAAATTTTTTTGCCCTATAGTCCTGGGCTGTGACCAAAAATGGTAATCCCGTAGCGTAATGCACTGTATGCTAAAAATAAAATCAAATAATAATAATAATCATTATTATTATTATAATAATATTAAGTAATAATAATGCAGGATGTAAGGCTGCCTAAAGCTAGATTCGATCCCCTCGCCGCCGTCTGGAACGGCACGGCAACTCCAGTATCAGAACTTCGGGAGGGAGACATAACATAACCGAGAAGATGAAAATTTACGCCGTGCCACGAATTCCTCGTGAAGGGCCCTTACCAGGAGGCGCACCCAAGTGAAAACTAAAATGAAAAGAAAAAGGTTGGAGTGCTTGGCGGGAACACTAAAAGCCTGAATAGCTTGCTCGTTTCATTAACAAGTGTTAAGGAGAAGAGCGGATCGTTGGCGTCGGCTTGATTATGTGTTGTGACTCCGCGGGAGCAGCTCGGCATCTCCTCAGCAAGACACGCGGCTGGCACTCGAGTAACTTACATCTACTTAGGAACACACGAGGCTGGCAGTCGCGTATTTGAACGCTATAGCATTTAAAAACGCGAGTGCCAGCTTCTCGCGTCTTTGTAAAAAATTGCAATATTATAAAGGGTGTCTCCGAAGATGTTTCATATCCTTCATTTTATAGACATCTGCCACATAGTGAAGAGCTGTCAGACTTCTTTGCGACCGTGTCCGCCTAATGTACGATACAAAAAGCGCACAATATGTTCTGTTTGGAATAATTGCAAATATTTATTTTTATTTGTTGACATTGTAACTATATCGCCCTGTGGGCATTATTGTAGTTTTTTTTTTCTTGAAAACACTATTACAAGTGAAAAACGACAGCGTCATTATCATCAATGGACACAATATCTTCCGGGAGGCCGCTCTATTTTCTCGCGGTTTTGACAAAGAATGAATTAGCAAACCTGTCAGTCCTGTAAGTTGATACGGTAACCTTCTTAGAATTCGGAAAAGGGGGTTCAGAAAAAAAAAAAATAAAGTCATGTTTTTTTTTACTACGAAAACAAACTACGCACCGTCAACCACTCAGTTCCCGTCCAAATGTACCGCTAGCGGTCGGAACCAGAAGCCAAAGTTTCGGAAGGAGCCGTTTTCTCGTTAAAAGTTAATTGTTTTAGAAAATTTTCAATGGTTAAATGGTGGCTGAAAACGTCTACAAATACATGGGCCTGAATGGCGCAAGCTAAGGAGAATAAGCCCCGTTTTTCCATTGAAAGGTTCTGAAAATCACGTAACTTTTGAATAAGATAACTTTTAGTTCTGGCAGTGGAGCCTCGTACGGAGCGCTAGAGCTACATTTGGCCGGACAAGAGCTTTCGGCGTTTGATTTATGGTGGTGAAAATATCCCTGCCACTTTGTTTTGTGGCACACTGTAGATAAAATGTCGCCTGTTAAGCCTGCTAATAGCTAAACCTTGTTAATTTTGATCTCGCAGAAAAACGCGCACCTTGAAACCTGTGAAGACGCTTTGATTGAATGTCCTTTTAAAGAGTTTGGATGCAGCGAGAAAGTGAGTATGTTGTGTTTAGTTACATAAACGGGTGTCATAGTGCCTATGATCAAGCTGGATTAAGACACGTATATATATATATAATTTTTTTTATTCATTTTTAACAAGCTTTTTTTTTAGTCACTCAATTTTCCTCCAGTTTATACCTCCAAAAACGGTCGCGCGGACTTTCTATAAACCCCGACAAATATGCGAAAAATATTTAGACTAATACCTTGCTATAAAAAAAAGGATGTGGCTAAATATGGTGGTTTTCCGTTGTCGGCAAACTAAAAATGCTTTATCCAACAAAACACGTAGTATAGATCAATTATCAGGGCGTATGAGGCAAAGCGTCTACCTTTTAAAGAAGGACAATCACCTGATAGTATGCAAATAATCTCATGAGACTAAACTTCCGCAAATTCTGAATGCCTTGTTTAAAATATATCGACATTATGCCAAAGGAAAACCGAGGTCCTTTGTTGAGCTGGGTATGTATAAAAAATGGGATGGAAGCTGTTCTCCGGAAAATTTTCCAGGGACCAATTTTATTTTGCTGTTCTTTGCTATTTTAATAAACTTAACGCGTAACAACTAGATATTGCTCAAATTACATGCTATTTTGAACAACCGTTTTTAGGCCCCAAGAAAAAAAATGCAGGAACATGAGAACGACCCACACAATGCACTGCTTAAACAAGTGATCGTTGTGAGTATACGCTATTTTTCTGTTGGGTTCCTTGGATAGGTGATTAGTGGAGTCTCTATAGTCGGTTACAAGTCAAGAAGGTATATGGAGAAGCTCCTCCCACAACTGTGATGCGCCCGTTTCAAATCTCTCCGCAGTCGAAAGAAGAGTTCACTGGAAACGCTCCTTGTTCCGCTTCAATGGATTCCCACTTGTCTCCGATCCCACTCTTTAAGAAAGCGACCTTTGTATTCATCGGAGAGGGAACCGAGCCCCTGAAAGCAGCCTTTGTATCCATCCGGGGGGAAGCTAATCCCCGAAAGTCGTATTTGTTTCCGTCGGCGGGGGAGGACTCTAATCTCCCTCTCGTGGCTTCCACAATGCTAAGTCAAAGTCGAAAGATAAAGCAAATATGTACTGAAAGGCAAGACCCTCCTCACGCGTTGGCCGCGACGTCACGGAAACGGTGGGACGCTATTGGATGCGGAGGTGGCGGAGGGATATCTAATTCCCTTTGAGGGGCATTTGCCGCTACCTTCTTAACCTGTAACTGACTATATATAGTGCACTCGTGTGCGGGGCATTACACTTTGGTCGAATTGTATCTGCGAAAAGTACGAATCGCACTGGAAGAATTTGTCACGTTACTGCCTGCCAAACGGTCTATTATGTTAAGCCGTTCAGTATGGTAGATACTAAATTATTTCTTCGTTATTAACTTTTTAACTGGTAAATTGATAGGTATGGTCTCGATTATAAACATTCTGGCCATCGTCGAAAACCATCAAATTAGCGCGCTTTGGGGAAATAATTTATATGGGCGGCATTTTACGACGTTAAAAAAACACTCAATTTGGACGCGATTCTATAGGTTATGATTTTTTCTCGGAGCTTTCTTTTGCTCCGGGGGCTCTGCTACCCGTGAGCCGACCTCGCAGTTACCGCCTGGCCTCTTCCGTATATGAGAGAAGCAAGTGTGGTGTCAGTTCCAACCTATACGTTTCTGCTCTTCGAATGAGAATACAAGAATTGGCTTTGATTGTTCGGGTTAACTGCGTCATGCGAAAAATGCGTTTCGGCGCACGTTGATTTCGCGCGTTGGCCATCGCGGACAAAGGCTGCTGGTGCGGAGATGTTTTGATAAAAAAAAGACTATTTCAAAACGCTTTTCAGTTAAATTTATTCTCGGAAAGCTGCAAAAATGCTCCCGTGCCACATAATTTCGTAGAGTGCGCTAGTTTAGTTGTTTCGGTGATGGCCACGGTCTATTAAAAACAACAAAAAAAATTTTACCAATGAAACGTTAATTACTCGAACGAATACGTGCAATATAAAACACATTTTTTATTCTTCTGTCATTGAATCAAAGCACGCTTCTGGTAAACTACGACGGGGCATTTTGATTCTGTACTACTGCTAAACATAATAAACATAATATTTTACCAGATACGTTGATAATAGTTTTTATTTATCCTCGTTTTCCGATGTAATAACTTTCCTCGAGAAAAATTTGAAGCTCCGAAAACAAGAAGTTAAATGAAGAAGCACTAGGCAAAGTATATAGCATTTAATTAACGGGACATGCAGTGATATTCCCTATAGACGACATGCGAAACTGCTTGGTGCTCTGGTAGCACCGTGTTCGCCGCCATCTTGGCTGAGTCAAGTTTCTTGAGTTTTGTTTTCATAGCATATGGAGGGCAGTGACGCCGTGCAAGTTTTTGTGATGTAGCAGCTTCGTGGTTTTACAACTTTCGATCACCTAGTGTGGACGAAGGACTGACCGCCGTGGCCCTGATCTCCGAGTAAACTTTCAATTCTTTTTCAACCGCAAGGCTCACGAAATCGTACTGTCTAGCGGTTGAAAAGATCGCCCGCCATCTTAACTTTAGGCCACTACTTTTTTTTTATTACTGCAAAATCTATAAAACGACCACTAAACTGAGATTATAACGAGTTTTTTTTTTTTTTTTTTTTGTGTGTGTTTCCAATCACAGAAGGCGATGGACACGATTTCAGAGCTTCAACAGAAAGTAAAAGAAATGGAGCGGTGCAACGTATGTATATACATTTTCAGTAAACATGAATGAAGTTAAATTTTTTTATTAGAAATCCATGTGCAACTTGGATATACTAAAGCAGTGCAATCGAATCGTTGTTAATAACGATTGCAAGTGTAATGAGATTGAACACTGCAGCGTTCTCGATGTGATTCGCATTAGCTTCGCCTGATAAAAAAAAAACTTCCACGCAGAAGAAATTTCTTGAAGCACGTGGGAATTAATTCTTCATGTGCAGGTTTGGCTCGTGCCACCTGCGAGCAATATTAATTTATGCATGTCATAAACTTTAAGGATTCACAAATTCTATGCCTCGTGTGAGGCTCGTGTGAGGCTGTGAGGCTTGAACATACGATCATATCAGATATGATTTTGGTTATGAGGCTCTTCAGGCCTTGTGAGGCTCCATCGGGTACCATGGGTCGAAATGTCGGCGTTTTAGAATACGGCCCACGGCCTTGTACACGTTTAAAAAAAGAGTATAGATGAATAAATTACAAATATTTTTGTTTACGAATGTAATCAAATAAATTACTTGAATGCTCAAGAATAAAGTAATTCACCGTTACTACAAAAAGTAACCGTTCCTTTTCGGATTCCTTGATTTTGAAAGCGAAATATTTGTTTTTGCCGGTTTGTCGACGTGGTTTTCAAACTGTTTATTATTGGATTACGGTACAGAATTTATATTCTAACCTTAAGCCAGCAATCTTTTTGTAAATCACGCTTCTATCGGAGACTCTGTTTGATCATTTATTGATATAAAAACTTAAAAAGAAGATCGCCTTTAGAAAGGGGAGGGAAACATGGGAACTGTTAAATGTAATTTCGATATTTCCAAAATAAATAAATTTAATGTTGCGATTGCTTGGTAATAAGTGTGTTCAAATTATTACAGAATTACCACAAAAAATATTCGATTACAAGTAATTTGATTATTTGTAGTGGGTACTGCAGAAGTGTGAATACGGGGTAGTCTCGGAACTTGAGCGGCTCGCATTAGGAGCGTGGTGTAGATCGCGGCAGATGTCGACACCGGTGCATTTTCGGTAGGGTGGTAGGGTCGTGTGGCGTGCGCCGCAATAGGCACTTTGCGAACGTTTGCGAACGCCTGAAGCAGTATTCGGCAAACTTGACGGGCTTCAGCGAATTGTTGTCTACACACACAGCCTCACGAGCTTCCATTGCTGAGCCACGCCGGTCCCAACACTACCCTACCCTGTATTCTAGTATACTCTAGAATTGTCTCAAGCCCTGCTCCTTCTTTTTCATCTCACGTGCTGTCTGTGATGATTATATCCCACCTTCTTCAGTTCATTTTTGCAAGTCTAAGCCAAATTTCCGAAGAACGCAATCTTCGATGGTCCGTGTCTTCGCTATGTAAATATAAAGAAATATTGCGATGTAAAATCGCGTTGAAAATATAGGAATATGGGATTCCGCATAGTTTTCCTGATGGTAATATTCGGAAATCGCAATAGCATAAAGATAAAGCCAACTTATGATTACTACATTTATTTAGGTTTGAAGGAAGACGGAAATACATTCTTGAGTGAGCATATATACGAGTGTTTATTATTTTTTGCAGATGTCTCAACGAGAGGAAGCGAGGAATGAAAAAGCGAAGCTGGAAAAAAGAATACAAGAACTGGAGAACAGTCAGGTACAGTGAAATGCATCTAACTAGAATAATATTGAATAGTTTCTGCTTTTTGTAAGCTACCTTCAATTCGGAAAAACAACTTGCATTGGATGTGGTGTAATGGTGCTTACGAAACTCATTTCAGCTTGAGGCGGATCAATATCGAATTGACCTTGAAGACGACGTTAAGGTCTCCAGAACTGTGCTGCAGGTAGGTTAAAAATTTTACCTCGTAACTTCGAACACTACATTAAGTTTGCCTGAAAAAACTACAAAGGTAATAGACAGCCTGAGACCCTGTAGGAATGTTTGTTTTGTTCGTCACGCTGTGCCGAAAATCGCCGCTGTAAATTACGTTTACATTCAGGTATTCGTTAGGAAGAAGACTCATGCGCACGCAGTTATGGCGGGTGCAGGCGATGCCACCTAGTAAACAATGCCGGGGCCCTCACCCACCCCCTCCACGGCCACCCAAGCATAATTTATTTACTCGGTAATGCAACCTCTTTGAGGCTTCAGCATGATGAACACTGCGGTGAAGCAAAGTAGGCGCCAGTCGCCGCGAAATGTTAACATAGCATAAAGGAAGACACGCTTCAAACTTGAATCCCGATGGCCCAACTAGTTCACACAAATCATTATAATACACCAATAAAAACATTTCAAGAAACCCGTACAAAAGATGTTAGTCAAACACTGTACGCCAAAAGCAAAACTAAAACACGTAAGTAGGTAAGATGCAACCTTCCAAAGCAAAACATCTCGAAACATTCCTTGACCCCTCAGCTCTGGTGAGGGGCACTTCTTTACATGATTGCCCATTAATGCCTGAATAAAGGGCCGTTCACCCTTCAAAGCTACAAGCACCATACTCCGTTCATCGTTAAGCTGACCAGGAGCTCCGCCTTCAGCGTGAGCTCGCTGGCTTCGGCAGTGCTTGGGTTGCGCGTGCGCGCGCGTTAATACTTGTGTTATCAAGACCAGAAAGCTCGCGCTAAAGTCGGAACTTCTAAACACAGCTTAAGGGTGAAGGGCGTATAGCTATACCCCGAGATCGGGGTTTTGAACACTTCTGCAGAACGAGCTCTAGCACTAGAAAGGCACGTCTCAAAGCCAGTAGCCGGGGCTAGTTCGCGCTTCTAGCTTTAGCTGGATCCTCAGCACAAGGTTGAACGGAGTAGAGGCCATTGCAAGCATGGCTTTCCGGCCGGTGCCCCCTGCGTGCAAGCACGTGCGGCATGCGCGTGAAGAAACGTTTTCCAGGTCCGCGATTGCGAATGCTTTCTCGCTCGAGTAGAGAGACGCCGGTAGCCAGGTGCCCCGCTTGCAATCGTCTGTAGCTCGCGTCAGCATCGCAGCCAACGTGTCCAGCAGCGTTCCAGAACAAGCACAAAGCAGTCGTACGGCGACGCCAAGACGGGCGCGTCGGAAGGTGCAGCGACTCTCGAGGAGCTTCGGCGTGATCCGCTTGGGGCGGGCCAGGAATCCACAAACGATCACGGTACGCACACGCCTTGCATAGGTCGTGCATAGGACTTATGCTGCAACGTAGTATAGGGGACATAAGTGGAGGCCGTGGTGGTGCCCTTGCGTTGCTCTGGTCGGGCCAGGTGAGCTGGAGCCCCGATGGGGCCTCGGCTGGACGAACTCGGGAAGGTTCCATGGAGCGCGCTCGGTCCTGATTGGATTGGCGGGGAGGATACGGCATATATGCACCTGAACCTCGAGGGTTGTTCTACAATCATGCAGCGTGACCTTCAAGGCCCGTTAATTATTAGCCATTTATTTCCCTATTACATCTAGACAACTATTCCCCTTCATTGGTGACATAACATTTGCCTTCCATCCTTCGCCCGTTCAGCTTTTTGTTTTATTTTACGATAAAAGCTATGTATGCACAAACAACACTAATGGTGGTATGAAGGTATGCGATATATGACGGACTGCGAAAACGCCCCCCGAATATACTCGGGTGCGTTTTTGTGGTCAGCTCCGGATCGCTCCCAGATTTCCCCTCCCCTCTCTCTGCCTCTCTCTTTCTCACACACACACGCACACGAACACACCGGATTGTCGGTTTTTTGTTTTTGTTTTTACACGTAGAAGCATGTACGAGCATGCAATAACAATGTTTTATCTAAGGGTGTCACTTTTTTATCAAGTAATTATTTTCTTTAGGTGACCTCTATTTCGGTGTGCTACTTCGTTACGCAATTACGAATTTATGTAGTTCAACCTCGCGCTTCATGGCGAGCATTAGATCTAGGAATTGCTATTGAACTCGGTATGCGACGACAGTGAAAACGAGGAAATTACAAATCCGAGTAAACAAAGGCCGAGTATGGTTACTAAAACGAGCAACTTCAAGGTGGGATATCGAGGAGGTGTTGCTGCATAGTACCGCGTCTCGAAAAGTACAAGACAAAAGATATGTCTTAGGATGGAAGGATGCAGACATGAATGAGTATTTTGCCTATAAAATAGTTTGTCCATTATACAAAATATTTTTTCACGGAGCGTGCTCCAAAGTTACTGAGAATAAAATTTGCGGTCGGTATGCGGGAAACAAATCCTCAACGCTCAAAGGGTATCTGGCGATATAAATCAGTAACCTATATAATCACGAAAAAGAAAAGAATCTTGCCTGCCACGGAGTCTTCAGGCGTCGTCCTTTCCGTGCTTTCTTTTTTTTTTAGCTTAAATAGCGCATTTATTTATTTCAATTAAATATTGCAAGTTATGGTAATGGCGCGGGGATAAAGAATGACATATGATTACGTAGCTTCTTTTTTCTTCTTTTTCACCAGAGCCTAGAGGATAAAGTCGGTCGCATCTCAAAGGAAGCAGCCACCCGAAGGAGAGTGGACATGCTCAACGAAAGAGTCGAGACGTACCTTGGTCCTTTGGAACGGCTGCTGAACGGCCTGCGTGATGTAGACGAACAATGAAAGGCACTCCCCCACTTGTACCTGTCTCCGATTCTGTCTGTATCGAGCTGCTGTGTTCCGAGCGTTCCAACACCCATATTTCTGTTGACTGCATGTGAGTGGCAGAACGCATCGATTAAACCAGGAGTCTTCAAAAGTACACGTGTTTAGGCGTTAAATAAAATGAGTAGTTTCCAGATCTATACATTTTTGGGGGTTTCACGACGTTGCTTGCGCTTTTCTTGTTTCGTTCAGAAACACTGAGTACCTTATGTAAAGACAACCTCATAAGTGTGAATTCGTTTGCTTCTCGTTTGCGCGGTAAGCATCCGTGATGCAATTTATAACCCGCCCAGTGGACTTTTCTTTTTTTCAAGAAGGGTTCTTCACATATGCAGGCCTTCTTGCAGCGGCGAACGCTCGAACTTCGCTTGGCGTTCAGAAGAATACTTGCACTACCTCTCCTGCCTCTTTGGCGACTCGGGTCAGCCGCAGAGAAGTCGGGAAAGGTATCGCAGCTCCCATTCCACACACAAGCCGTAGTTGGAGTTTTCGCCACTTGGTGTAGCGTTTGATAAGAAGTTCCACTGAAGAAATAGTGTTCGCTATAATTACCTCGTCTTACGTGACAGTAAAATGCAACTTCTCAATTAGTCTTGAGCGGGTCGAAAACTCGCTAACTACATTAGATAATTTTCAACAAAACTATAGATCATTCCAATAATCGCCATCTTCTAGCCATCATGTTTGTCTGCTTGGCTGTGGAATCGATGCTGAGCATGTGTCGTAGCTTTTTGTTTTCCCGGAATATCCGAGGGTGGGCATGCAGCCTCTGATATTGCTTCAAAGTGATATAGTGCTTACAATTTATAGGTTTTTTGAACTTACATTTAACTGTCATCGTATATGGCACCAGCAACGAGTCTTGGACGGACATTTTGGCCAACAGTATACAGGGTGTGCGGGGGTAAGCAAAAACATAAAAATGAAGGAACTTCCAAGGGCAGTGTGTTTCTTCCGGTTGGCTATTATTTTTTGCGTTGTTTTTGATGGCCCGCATTGAGTGGTGAGTACTTTAATGGTCTCAACGTTGAGCGCTAACTGCCGTACCTCCTAAGATTTACTTATACGGGATCGACATGCCTTCATGATCCCGTGGGTGAAAAGAAAGTTCACTTGTTTCTCGAACAAATGACAAATCTGCCGAAGCTATTATGGGCGCATCTTCAGCGCTAGCTATTTGACTAGCTTGATCCATACACCTCAGCACGATTTTAAACGTACATATTTCTAAGCGTTTCAACTACTTCGTGAACGGCAAGGCATCGGCTTTGGGTACCTACCTACCCGAGTCACCGAAGATATGCGCCGAGTTTCCCCTCGGGCACCAGCAGAGGTCGCCAAGCTGGGTCGTTGTTTTAGCAAACAATCGTCCGAAAGCTTTTTTTTTTAATTTTTTTATTACGCCTCCTTTGACACGACGCTAGACTCTATATATACAATTTTATAGTGTTTTGACATCCTCGCTATGGAATCCAAGGTTTCTTTTTCAGATAATCATGCACATTGCATTATAAGTACAGTGAGCTCAACTAATAAATAAAGCCCGGGAGCGGTTGCCGAAACTTACATCAGAGCTGTCCAGCGATTAAATCACTGATGCGACGGAGAATAAGGCGGCTCTTATTCTTGCAATTGTCGCCACTCCCCGCTATAATTATCGCATGATCTCCTGGTTACTTTCTTTATCCCCCACGCTTTAAATTTGTACTTGTTTGATTTGTTGTTTTTGCCACCCGTTTTGTTTCTTAGTCACACCTACGCATTGACCATATGGGGCTCCATATCTCGGTGATCTTGCAGTTTCTCTGATAAAGGCAACGTTTTTTTAAACAACAAAAAACAAAATCGAAGGACGACATTTTTTTTTTTAATCGCCCAGTCGCGCATTGGCGATTCCTTCGGAGCTGGGAGTGTAACTCTAGAAAACAACAGCGGCATAAGCTGCAAGAGAGAGCCGGTAGATGACGCATGCAGTCTCTCCGGCCACCGCTTCCGCGTCATATTTAAGAGTTGAGTACACTGTACGTGCCGTAACCGCCGTAACCGTAATGGCCCATCGTTGTAAAGAGAAGGGTCGGTCGAGGCGGCCGCATTGTCGCGCTTGTCGCGTTCTGCAATCTGTCGACAGCGCTTCGAAGCGGGCTAGCACATTCTACCAATGCCGCCGTCGTCCTGCGATCACCCACGCTCGGCAAGTCGGCGGCGTCCCTCTTCTCGAGAGAATCGAAAGAGCTTCACTCGTGGCATTGTGTTGTTGCCGGCAGACATCGGCAGCTTAAAAAGCATGACACTGGGGCATTTCAAGGGCGTATTTCTTACGGAATTGCTCGCAAGTCAAACAAGAGTCGTCGCACACCAACCCATACACAAGTTAAACATAAAAGAACAGGAAGTGTTTCTGTCTCCCTGTCATGGCTGCCGGAAGTGGCCCGCACATCCCGTCTACAGCTAACAGTACATGTCCTTCTTCACTTAGAAACATATCAATGCACTACGACCCTGGAAACTCGGCGATGAGGCCCCTGCCTGACGCCAAGAGGCCGTGGACAAATTGGTCAAAAACCTGTGCCAGTAAATGTTGGCAATAGCGCATTACGATTAACGGCGATAACGGTAACACTTTGATTTTTTCCTGTGACGTAGCAACTTACTCGTTAGGTTTTACAAACAGTAACAGATAACGTACTTGCGTTACTAATTTCAATAACGGGTAACTTCGTTACGTTACTAATTGCATCTTCTCCAAACTTGATAAAAATGTGGCATCGAAATTTCTTCGTGTTTCTAGGCGCCAAGTAATTAGAATTTTTGCGTTTTCCCCTTGTCTATTTCCGGCTATTTCTTACCAGTATTCAAGTGGAACCATGAACAGGATAAGGTAATTATACTATAATCGTGATGGACATAATATGTTTTGAAATATAAAGCTTACGCATCCCCGTAACGTTAAAACAGTAAAATGTTTCAATTCATACCTACGAAGTAACACGAAGGCTGCGTGCGTCACGTTCTATGTGTAGGTAGCGCGTTTCCTTTTCTTTGAAGGTAACGTAAATCGGTACCGAGTTGTTTTTATCTAGAAAAACGGCAACCATTTTTTAAGTTGCTCTTTTTTAGTAACACGCCAACGACACGAGTGTCAGCCGATCGCTAACGCATTACTCGCGTCCGATCAGCGCCGGCACTCGGCCGTGATGCGATGACGTCACACTCTAAGTTCAGGGGGCTTTCTAACCCATACTTTGTTTCACATTAACTCCGACTGCTGCCAACGTTACAATTCGACTAAGCCATTAACGTTAACAGTTTGTCTTTTTCGACTTAGGCTATAGGTGGCGCAAGATACCGCCCGTTACAAACGGTATAGCCATAAACATCCATTCATCCATCCATCGAATCAAGTGGTACATTTAGTGCAACGTCACGACGCTCGCCGCCATTGTGCGCTTTCTATCACCGGCTCTACCAATCAGGAATAGTGAATGTGGTCTGATCATGCGCTTTTCTATGTGCGTGATTCGCTGAGCCGGGGATTGCAGACGAACAGTCACGACGGACGCCGTGAAGGTGCACTTTTGGGGCAGCCTGATTGGGTGCATCGGATCATAGCCTTGGCTACGGTCGGACTTCATGTGAAAGAGAGCTCAAGCGGTGTTTCTTTAGCTTACTATACTTCGTCTCATCCTACGATGGACTAAAGGCAAAAGCTATGAACCGCCAGATCCAATAGACCCCTTTCGGAATTTTGGCAACACTGAAAAACATTTAGCCGGAATAGTAAAACATCTAGCAACATTGGGTGATCGCTGCCATTACGCAGGGTTCGACTTGTTCGACCGGTCGGCGTGCAGCGTAGCCGCCGTAGCGTTTTGAGCTATGGCTTGTGCGGGTGTTTTCCCGATCCCCTGTTGGTCTAATGATCTATCGATACTGCCACATATAAGTGACAGAGAGGTGGAGCAGTTCTACAGGAGCCGGTCAGGCACAAACCGGTGCATGGAAAGAAGCTACAACTTCTTCGTCGAAGCATACGCGGTCCCCGCATCGATAAAGGCTAACTACTCACGGAAGAGGCAAGTTCTTTCTTGTTTTGTGGTTATTTTTTTTAGTAACATTCCATAATTTTAATACAGCTAATCATAGTAATCGAGCTTTTAGCGTGGCCACTCCGAACGACCCGGTACGCTGCCCCCGTCGTGAGCTTGTCGTTCGGTGAAAGCCGAGAACTCGCTCGTTTCGTTTTTCGTACCCCTCCAATAAACGACCGCATACCAGTAACTGCAAAACGCGCCTCACGAGTCACAACCTTGAGTGTTGAAGCAATCGCAATCGCAAATCGTACAGAGCAGCAGAAAAGGTTGTACGGGTTGGTGGCAGGCAGCATTTTAAATTCCTTCCTGGGTAACCTTTTAAAGACTAAGACGTTAACCGGTTTATGGGCATTGCTCACAAAGCTACAGTAGACTTTTCAGAACCACTGATGTATTGGGTTTATTTCACGGCGTTTGTAAACGTACCACGTTTGTTTGAACCCACTCGAAATGCGACATTGGAAAAAGAAAAAAAAAAAAGAAAGTGTGCTGGAACTGATCTTTATTTGCGCAGGAAATATGCACAGCTGTTTGAGTGTAAAACCGGTGTATAATTTTTTTTTTTATCCCATTCAGTGCAGGAAGTTTCTTCATCAAGGGTTCCTGCTACCGGAGCAAGAGGGAGACCCAAGAACAACATACAATGTGTTCAGGAATAAAAACCGTTGAACAAAAAAACAATTGTTGAACATTCTCTAAACACCAACTCTTTGGCGGCATTCTCACAAATTTCCAAACTGATTAGTAGCGTAACGTCCCTAAACGTCTAGCGGTACGGCCTTGGCACTCTGTTTAGGCCACCACACCAAAAGTTCCCACAATCGCAAGGCGGGTTCGAGTGATCTTCAGGTTCGGTGTACACTGCATTTAGTCTGTACACCCCGACGTCTGTTTTCTGGAAAACTCTTTACCGGCGTGAGTAAAGGAAATGAACTTGCGGAAGAAGTAATCATGCATCAACACGCCGAAAAATTACCTAAAATGGCCTCGGTTGCAGTGAAGAGGCACTGAAGGAGGGAGCCGCTCGCGCATGCGAGCCGCGCACTGAACCGCGGCCGTGCCTTTCTAGCTAAATGCGATGCTTCCACTTACGGATGATAAAAGCGTTTTCTTGTCCAACCCGCGAAAGTTTTGTAAACAACACGAGGACACGGTTTTTCTTTTTGACCACTTTAGAACTTGCCTGACATGTACCTTTTTTTCCGTCTCCGTAAACGTATCCATCCTGCGTACACAAAGGTACGCAGCAATGCGATGGCATATTGATGCGGCGCGCGCAGACTGGGACTCAAAGTGTAAGCAGTACAGTTGTAGGCGGTAAGATGCAGGCGGTTCTGGCGGGACCCCTGCGTGATGGCGGCGGACCTAGTTGCAGTTGCGTGCAACAGGTGGCGCTCTACTCCGAAAGGGGTCTATCATAAGCCACTTAAAAATTGTGCGGTATTTCGCTTCGATGCACGTATCGGTGCCCGCGTCTCGGATCACTGAAGAGGGGACTGGTGGCCAGTGGTTCGAATCGAAGAGCAGTGAATGACTCAACAATTTTACATCGCAAAGAAAGCCACGACATATAGGCTATTTGCAGCGTCGAAGCTGTAGTAACGATGCGGCGCTTTTGGATTTGGACCATTATTCGTCCACCCCTAATCAATGTTAAGCGTGTCATAGTATAGCGTGGAACGTGATTCGACCTGGCGGCCCGTGGCTTTGGCCATTAGTCCATCGTAGGATGAGACGGAGTATAACGTGCAGCGGAGGTATCGCCGAACTGTCAACAAAATGCGTCAAAGGAGCCGGCGTGTCAGGCTGCGAGATGATTGAAAAGGTTTACTCCGGCTTAACATAACAAATTAATAACAAAAGGTACAGACGTTTCGCCACCTATGCAGGTGGCATCTTCAGTATACACTGACACAAATGAGGTGAGGTCGACCAGTCTACTTATCACACACGTCCCCGTAAACGTCTGGCAGGGGGCCAAGGTTAGTGTTGCACACCGATGGGTCACGGCGAATGAACCAGGACTCGACGAATTTTCTTTGCCCCCCCCTTTGTTCTCAGGCCAGCGTCGTCGCATTGTCCAGGTCGAAACTCTGTCCTGTCGTCCAGCAGTGTGCGACAAGTTCCGTCTTGGACCGCGTGGCATAAGTGGCCTTGGCAACGTCCCTTTGTGTTCTTTCATTCATGAATTCACCCGGCTTTTGGAACATTTTTGCAGGCTGCGAGATGCCAATAACCTGGAGGTTTGTTACACACGGTGAGTCGTAGGAATCTTCAGCCCTTTGAGGGCATTGCATAAATCGGTTCTTTAACCTATCGTGTCAGTGTTTTGTATGCGGGTGGCCGATGATTGTACATTTTTTAGAGCGAACTTACCCGAGTCCGGAGTACGAAATTACGAACTTGATTTAGGCGACCTAAGGCCTTCGTCTGCTAACAAAAGGCGTCCGATCGGCGAAACAGCGGGCAGATAGGTGCATGTAAGAGTGCACGGGTGCGGGGTGGTGGAGGGTTGTATAGAGATCACGTCACGGGGGAACCGTTGCACAAGTTTGTTTCGTTGACCTAATATCTGCCATGTGGCCGAAAACGAATAATTTCAACATAAAACAAAAATGCTGGTGTATGACGAGCTTAGGGGGAAGCGCTCGCCGCCTCCCGTCCTTTAAGTCTGCGCGTGGTCACAACCCTTTGAAACACAAAAAAAGAAGCATTGTGAATGACGCTCCTTCTCAAATGCTCTCTTTCTGATTTGATTCTGCCTTAATCTTTCCACCACCGGGCGACGCCAGCTCCAACGGATACGGTTATCACGTTGCCACGGGTAACTGTGGTCTGCTGCGAGAATACGGCTGTTATCTGAACGAGGAACCGGGATACGTCTGCGAACCGATGGAGCCCGTCGGATTTTTTTCGCGGATCGCAAACATCAAGATGGCGGACGGGAAGCCACAGGCCGAGTAAGCTGCTGTCTCTTTTGTATCTCAAACGTGAAATCCCCAGCCTTTAGGTGATTCCCAAGGCACACACTGGGGCGGTTGTTCGATATCTTGGCGAAGTCAGCTGTATTTTGAGCCAAACTTGTGGTCCTTTTTCTGTAAATGCGTTGGAATTCGCTGTACGCTACCGGCTGGCGGCGAATATTATGGCGGTAGTTGCTCGTGGAGGGTGTGCCAGACACGCTTTGTTTGTTTTTCAAGTAAAACATCGCAACTTGAATTTGTTTAACGGTGGTGTTTTAATGTATTATTTGAAGAATATACCTACGGTGTGATTATTTTTTTACTGCTTTAAGCGTAAAGGACCTGCCAGGTTAAAGCGATCTCGAGCACCAAGTTTTCGAGCTCAGGTAGCATAAACGCGAATTAGTGCTTAGTGCGAGTCAGGAATTTTATGTATACCAGGTATGAAATTGATTATAACCGAAAGTTAAAATCAGAGGCAGCGTAAAGAGATTGTTTGGCAGATGTATGAATTGATCTATGAGGGTGGGTAACGATTGTATATGCATACTTTTGGTAGCATAACCGGCATTTTATTAGTAAGTCAAAAATTTAGAAAATAAACTTGGGGTATTGTTGCTTGAGCTCTGCGTAGCCATTGGTTGCCATGAGCGCCACAAGAAAGAAGGCGAAAAGAGTTATTAGCTTATTAACTAGAATGCTTTCATTCACATCGAGAATTTATTTTTTCGGAGCTATAATTATTTATAGAACTGATGGTCAACATCAGTAGGGTGTATACGGTTTTTTTTAATTCTAATGAAGCAAGTTTGTAGGAGGCGATTCGAGGCGAGAGGTTTCATCCTTGTACTGCATATCTTCAAAACAAAACTAAGCGGGATAAAGTGGCGTTATCGCACCTGGCTTTGCTCGTGAATCCGGCGGACGGCGAAAGGATCGATGTCACTGGTGATGTTTGCCTGAACATTTTCGGTTTGAAAACCCGTACAGTGATGACACTTCCCGCCTCTAAGCGCCTACTACACACTTTTTTATCAATATTTAAAAGAAATAATGGAAAAGGTTTAGTTATTAAGTCTAATTAGATATTTTAGGGTATTTTCCGGTAGTCGACGTAGCCACCAGCTTGGCAAAAAGATTACAAAAAAAGAAAAAAAGGAAAGCTAGTGCAAGTTTTTTTTCGTTTTTGAATTATGGACCGACGTAAAAACACCTTGTATAAAGTTCAACTACTGATTATTATATCGTTCTCGTAAGAATATGTTCGTGGCGGCCAGTGGTTTTCGAAGTAGTTATTAGAAAAGAGTCAAAGTACAGGCTAGCTGGTGGAAGTCAACCATTTCGTCGTTTACCCTGAGACTGGGGGGGTTTTCGAAGAGCAGAAGTAACAGAAACAGACAGGTCTCAAACTCAGCTACACGTTTATTTCAACAACTTCCTCTTATATAGTTCGTTCTCGTCGTCAACAACCAATCACATACGACTTGTCCTTTGCACCGTGACTTTACAGGTTCCACTATCACAAAAGAAGCGGACACTCCCAACGTTTCTAAGTGAAAAGGTTCTAGCAGAAGACAAAGGACAAGTCGGTGCAAAGGACAAGTCGTATGTGATTGGTTGTTGACGACGAGAACGAACTATATAAAAGGAAGTTGTTGAAATAAACGTGTAGCTGAGTTTGAGACCTGTCTGTTTCTGTTACTTCTGCTCTTCAACCCCCCCCCCCCCCCCCAGTCTCAGGGTAAACGACGAAATGGTTTAGTTATTAGAGTCCAACCTTGAAGTGAACGGCGTTTGGTGGCGTAGTATAGCCAACTGCCGGTACAATAATAAAACCCTTAAAACAATAATTGTGGGTTTGGGACTTTCTTATTAAATTGGAACAAACCTACCAAACAAAACTCCAAATAATAGAGTTAACGCAAAGGGTTTGAGCGTTGACAAAGTTTCAATTAAACTTAAATGAACACGTGACGAATGTATTTTTATTTTGTCAATTTTGTAAAAAAATATATTGCCAACACAAGAATAAACAGAAATAAATATTACTAATAAAAACCAAGCAAGGTAGTCTAACAAACTTTGTAATTTTTTTATCACAGTTTCGAACCTTGTTTAACTTTCAAATATACATTAAAGTATTAAAAAATTTATTTGAAAATAATGATTCACCACTGTATTTTGCCTGTACAGTGAGTCGGTGTGAGGCGTCAGCCAGTCTTATCTGCCCTAGACTGCGCACTGATCCTAGCTCAAGTCCTAAGATTAAGAATTGACGGCCAAGTGAGGTGTGACCATAAAAAAAAAGAAACCACAAATTATAATTCAGAACACCGCAGAACTCTCCGCGCCAAAACCGTAAGCTATAGTTTGCTTCTCGTTTGCTTTGCTTTCCAACTTGAGGTATAGCTCAGGATGGCATCTGAGGCCGTTCCTGTTCTTATATGTATTTCCATTTTCACACCCATTCTAACGCATATTTTTAACCTTTCATTGTCGACTTAGACTTCTCCTTCGATTTGGAAAAACGCGATAACCGTGCCGATACATAAGAAAGGAAGAACAGACGATCCAAAAAACTGTAGACCCATTTCATTATTATGTCCATTTGCAAAGCTTTACGAAATAGTACTTACGGAACATATTTCGAGCTTTTTTAAACATAAGATCCTGCCCTCACAACATGGTTTTGTGCGCGGAAGATCAGTGGAATCAAACTTGGTGTCTTTTCCTAACTTCGTTTCGCCTATTGTATTTCAGCGGGGTCAGGTTGACACGGTATATTTCAAAATGACTAAGGCGTTTGATTTGGTTGACCACTCGCTACTTTCACAAAAGCTGAAATCGTACGGTATGAGTACTATACTATGTACATTGCTTCACAATTATTTGTCCGATAGACAGAACTTTGTACGCATCCTTGGTCATCTCTTCCGGCCTTTTGTCACCCTGTCTGGTGTTCCCCAGGGGTCCATTCTTGGGCCGATTCTTTTTAATTTTTTCATAAACGACCTTCGCTCATGTGTCCTACATTCAGAAATCCTGCAATACGCCGATGACGTCAAGTTATTTAGGCAGATAGTATCTGTAGAGGACTGTGTGAAACTAATGAATTATGTAAAATCAGTGAGTAATTGGTGTAGTCTCAACAGGCTGACACTTAATCCTGCTAAGACTGTTATGTCACTTGCTAAGAAGCTAATGCCCTTTCATTTCTGTTACCAACTCGGCAATGCCCCATTGCAAAGGGTGGATTGCACTCGTGATCTTGGAGTTTATATAGAGTCTTCTCTGTCATTTAATACACATGTCAATAACATTGTCAACGCGTTTTTTCGTACGTTAGGTGTCATATCCAGAATTACACGTGAGTTTTCCATGTCGGCCTGAATTATGCAGTTATACTTTTCATTAATTTGGTCTAAGCTAGAGTTTTCCTCAGTTGTGTGGAATTCTATTGGGCGTACGCACCAAGAGTCAATTGAAAATGTCCAGAAACGTTTTTTTCGTGCAAACGCAAGCACTGGGCGTTTGCATACGTGCAAACGCAAGCACTGGGCGTTTGCATACGTGCAAACGCAAGCACTGGGCGTTTGCGTTAGCGTTGCGTGTTCCACACTTAGCGTGTGCGGAGCTTCGAACTGCGTCTTGGATTGGCGAATGACGACGACGCGCATGCGCAGGCTAGAGCAGACAACGCTAACGCAAACGCTCAGCACTTCGGTTTGCTTCTATATGCAATACTAGAACTCTCAATTCTGTCACAGAGGTGGACGCATACGCAGCGTCCAATATACCGCACAGCAGATGAACAGTGCATGCTCAGAAGGCGTTCCACAGCCCAGCAGACGAAGATGGCAGCGCTCAGAAGGCGATTTTCGCAAAGGTCTATAGTCGCACGATAATCTGATTCATTTTTATGTCGGAGCAGTATCAACGTTACGAGTCAATGTGGTCCAATCAACGCTCAGAAGTACGCTCAGCATTTTATTTTGACCCTCCAAGTATTGCGGACAACCACCGTCGCTCTTGCAGGAGACGCGGCGGCGTGATGCGTGTAATCGTGGTTGGCGTGGCGGTGCGCCGGTGGTAATTCCCTTGCCCCAGGAAGCGCGCGCTCGTGCGTGACGTAGTCTGTGTCTGTTTATAAAACAACTATATACCCTTTATGTGGCACACACTACAACGTTCTAAGGTTGCACAGGCTCGTAAGAACTAAATGTAAGGTCTACATTTTTTGGAAAGCGGGAAAACTTTGTTCTGCACAAAACTCGGTGCTCAAGAAATTGTTCGATTATTTTATCGCACGCACACCTCCTCTAACGAAAATTCACCGACGAAAGTAAAATTAAATCAATACTCTTACTCGCGCCGTTTTGTCGCTCTATTTTTATGACACTCCATGGAGTGAGTATATCGGTGATGGAAATATTACAGTTCCAGAAACGTCTGTGTATTAAAATCTATCGTTACTCAAATGTATTTTTAGACCACATAATCAAGATATTACTTTTTTTTAAACGTGTTTTGTGTTTGTCTTCAAAAATATTAAATAGCTTCAATTTCTTTTTCAGTCTTCATGAAGAATATCGTCAAGTGAAAGGATTCTGGTTGTTTGAAAAATGTTACCTGAGGTTTCCACAGGACGTACGAGACAAGGCTGAATGTGATCATTGCAAATGCATTCCAAAGGAAATATATAATCTTCATTGCCTCAACCATCGACTCTGCCTGGAGTGCAAACAATATTGCAAAGGTTATGACTGCCTTAAATGTGGCGTTAACACAAGCCCTGCGCAAGTGAGCACTTTTCTTTGATATTTAGCAGAAGAAAAAGTGTCCTGTGCCGAGGATAAAGTTTTTGTATACTGTATATAATCTATCGCGCCATATTGTTCATAAATGCGCAAATTTTGAAGGTGTGTGTCTTGAATGCATTTGTCCCCTTTCCACTCTAGCAAAAGTAAACATGTATTTTTTTAAAGAAATGTAAGCATACAAATGAACCCCAAGATCCGATATTTGTTTAAAAAAAATTGGACGGTTACAATTCTCTGTAATGCCGAATTAGAGTGCAGGTCTTGAGGAAGAGGATGGGAGGGTAAGGAGGGGAAGGTGTGCCGCTCCCCCCCTTTGTACCCTCCCCTCCTCCTCTCCTGCTCCCCTCCGATTCAGTGGGAAATTTTCGCTAAATTTCCCGCTAAATTTAACGGAAAACCTTTCCCGGGTTGAGTGGCGTCACGGTTGACGTCACGAGGGTAAAGCTTCCTCACTACATTTGGCGGAAAACTTCCCCCGCTAAATTTAGCAGAAAATTTCCCCGCTAAATATAGCGAAATATTTTCCCGTCAAATTTAACGGAAAAATTTTTATCCTCGTGACGTCACCCATGACATCATGTGTGACGTCATTATGGGAACCTCCCATAATTCAACGCGCGGTTACGGCGACGGCGACGCCGCTCAACCAGGAAAGGGGCGCCTTAGAGCTGCGGTCTAAAAAATCTGTCTTGGCTGATCCGGCGGAGCTGAGTGCTAGACTCCTCCCGCGACCACGCACGATGACTCTCTACATTTACCCATATAATGTATTTTAGAATGTTTTACACGCGTTTTTAATAGGAATTGATGAAGGGGGACGGCCAGGCCTCGGGGAGTATAAATAATTATCGCATTTTATATCTTATATCTTAAAGAATAACACTTGCTTAGTAAAAATGCGACTGCATCGTTTTGAAAAACCCAGCTAGTACAAATAAAACTCCTACTCTTCTCCTGCGAGCATGTTCATTTACCACTCTCCCGCAATAATGTCCTTTTGGAGCAGCAGAATAACCCGAATAACCAAATAAATAAAAGTATTATAAATAAGTTGGTATATATGTTGGTAAATATAGTCGTATGTTAGAAACTCACATCCTGCATCTGAAACACTGCGTTTAACTCTGTTTTAAATATATCAGCTGTAAAATATGTTAATTGGGCTTGCTAGGAGCACATTTACTGTTTCATGATTGAGGCGAGCGCCGTACATTGTAATTGGAGGACACAACTATGAGATGTGAAATTTCCTGCGGCTGCAGGAATCGATAGCTGGACGTAAAATGATAGCTTTGTACAATCATTTTTTAACTACTAAAGTTTATAACACATGAATATACAACTAAATAAATGCAATAGCTCACAACACAGTCTGCATCTCAAGGGTATTATTTCAAACTTTAATTTTTTCCCCAAAATAATAGGGAGTGCACGCTTTATCAAATAAAACGGTCTGACAAACAGGCTTGCACAATGTTTTAAAATAATCATTGTCGCTTGTTATAATTTCCCCAATGGGTAATAAGTTGCCATGTTACCTGCTTTGAGCCCTCTTCCTTTTTATACATAGGTATATCATACTGATTGTATTTTCTAAGCGTAATATGCGTTGCAAGTAGCTTTTATTGTCTGTGCCGTTTTTGCAACACCTTCCACACGTTTTTTGTTATAGGGATTAAAGCATGTCTAATTTTTATTTGTTATCTACCCAACATGAACATCTACCCAACTGAAGCTAAAAAAAAAATATTTTCAGCTTGAGGCTGCTCGTCCCCGTATCAACTATGTGGCAAACTACCTGCTAGCTCTTTGCCCCTTCTGTGAAGAGAAAGTGATGCTGGACTGGATGAGGGTACGAAACACCAAAACCTACATGTATTTAATATTTGGCGTAAGAGACTTAGAAACTTCTGCAAAACGACTACACCAAATTATTAAAACAGATAGTATAGAGCCGGTGCTCGGCTGAAGATTTTGTATTTATAAAAGCTAAAATTTTGATATTCAATGATTTGCTTTAACAGTTTTAACACAATAATAGACACATCTGAACTAGTAATCAAAATTACAAGTCACAATATTGTTTTCTTCCGCGAAGTTATTAAGGTACCATATTTGATCTGAGGAGCTTAGACGATTTACTGGCAACACTGAAATCATTATGTAATTTGCGGGTATACGGGGGTGTTACAGCTTGTTCGCGAAAATATTGATGGTATGAAATGAATGGTAATTAAAACCACGCAAGGAACAAAAAATACATGCAGAAATATCTTTTTTTTTTGTTTGTCTGGCCGACTTGCAAGTTCTATAACATGTGACGTCATCCCAATAGAGAGAGAGGGAAAATTTGAATGTTGCTTTTGGCGTTATGTTTATTGGCCGTTTTCACGGCAGCCAATTCAGATTTAGGGATAAATAGCATCCCGAAAAAGTATTCCAAAATTTTTTTTTTAATTTATGTATTTATTAAAAAAATCAAAACGCTTTTTGGCAAAGCTTTTTTTTTTCTTTTTGGAAAATGAGGAGATGCATATTTCTTTATGATCCATTTTTATTATTTTTAAGCCGTCTGGAATGGGGCCATACGACTAGAAACATATTCGCGGTGTTGACGGATCCGATAGACATGCAAAACGAAAGGTCTTTAGATTAACGCACCCGGCAGATATGCAGGGTGCTTTTGGTTTATAATGAAAACAATTCATTTTACAAAAAAAAAAAAAGGGTTACATGTATGTAGACGCCGCCTTCATTGCGGACATTATGGGCGAAGGAAAGGATCATGATCGGAACGCAAATTAACTATAATACGTTGATCAACATTTTTGAGTGTTGCTTTTATGGGCCATTTTGTAATTGCAGTGATGATGGCAATTAGTATAAGAGGCCAAACCGAACGAAAGAATTTGTGAAACGTTAATTATTTTTTGAGACATACAACTAGTGTTCGCATTTTTCTCCCGATTCAAAGAGTGCGCTCAAGCTTGACCCACAATGAGGCTTAAAAGAGTAGCGGAGTAATTTCAGTGGCATTGTTACTATCTCGGCCGTGTGCCGTCGCCGCATTCGCCAAAGACCTGTGCAGGTACCGCCACCTACAAAAGGCCAACTGAAAAAAACGAAGCGCAAAAATTAAACCACTTCACTGCACGTCGGGAAAGTGTGCTTGTATCTTCGCTTCTCTCTTGCGAATTCAGCTATTACTACACCATATGACGTTGATATATTTTCAGCATCAAGGTGACATCATATGCTCAATATTAAAAAACATTGCCTGGACTGTTTTTGTTTATTATTTACACACTCAATCAAGGTAGACAGCGCGACAGCTGCGTAAGTGGATCGTGTTATAGTTACAATTTATTACTTTTCAGTACCACCTTTTGACGAGTCACTCGTACGACGTCAGCATTGTACAACCAAAGGTTCAACAGAGAAAGAATGAGGTAAGTGTTTTCTTGTTTGTGCGTGCATTGGAATTTGAACTGATATAGTACCTACATGGACCAGAAAAGCTCAGGTGACCATTTATATATGCTATATATCTGTTTTCATGTCAGTTGAGACAGTGTTTTGGAGTACATTTTTTTAAATTTTGACTAAATATATTTATATGTTTTGGCAGCATTCTTAAAATAAAAGACCGCGAAAACAGCAAGCTTCGTAGGTATTTGATTTTCAAGACATATACCACTGTCAGAGGAGAAACCTCACGAAACATCAGTTTACACTTTGATCATTGAAATATTTTAAAAAGGTCACAATTAAAAGGTGCCAAAGTTCGCGAACAATTATCAAATTGCACGCGTGTTTTCTGCTGCCTGTATTGAATCATATGTTTGACCACTCGCTATTTTGACGTACACTTCTGAAAATACTGCACTAAGAATCTTCTGTGACACTCTTAAAATCAATTTATTACGCATAATGAATCAAAAAAGATTGCTATTGTTCAAGTATTAAAAAAAAGTCACTCTTTTTGATGATATTTAGAACAGTTCGAAAAACTTTTAAAGTTTGGCCCATTTGGGGTGTGTTAGTGACCTTGAACTTACCGTAAAGCTAGAACTTAGTTCGTTCTATTAAATGCAAATTTAACATATTTTCAAAATAAAATATGTTACCTACATGTGAATGAATGAATTTTTCAAAAATTCTGTAAAATCGGGACCGATTTTTTCTTTTTTGTGTGTGAAACAGCTCTTATTTGCTTGGAATTTTATTGTAGCAATTTATGATTATTTTGTATCAACAAATAGAAACAAACAATATTGTATTTTGATCGTAGGACCACACAGACTCTTTTTTTCAAAGATCCACGAGCAACATTGGTGGTCGTCATTTTTCGGGCAGTATGCGTGTGGTTTGATCCGACTCGTCGCCCAATGCTGACGCAGTACTCGTTTTCGATACAAGTATGGTGCCTACAACCCGTCTCCGACTGGTGTGTGTACAGCGCCCCAAAAAACTGGTCCCTCGATTTTCACCTGATGACGTCATAAAAGTGTCATGCTGTCGCCGGTCGCGATCCTGGCGGTGTCCCAGCAGCGGCGGTGCGTGCGGCAGACGCCTGTTCTGCTGAAGGTCGCTCTGAAGCTTGACAGTCCACGGAAGCTTCGGCAGCCAGAAGTTGGGACGCCGCGACGACAGCGACATTCGCGTTCGCTCGTGCTTTTCGCCAACATTTCTATGACCAATCGCCAGGATCATCACCTCCGACAGCATGACACTCCGGCTTTTGTGACGTCACTTGTTGCCATTTAGGAACAACTTTGAACGTATGGGCGGCATAGAACGCTAAATACAGAAGTCTGAGACGCGCTCCAGGCACCTTAATTGCCGATCACCGTAAGCTAGAGGGATCATGTTGAATCACAGCTATTTTTGATGCTTTCGAAGTTCAGACAGATGGTTTTACGGGCTTGCGGCGGGTGGTGAAGCCGTCACTATCCACGGTGCTTTGCGGAACGGAGTGTCGTTGCGCTGTAGACGCTGCAGAGGGAAGGCACGATGATGGACCGATGATTTTCGTCGAAGAGTCAACTGGCACCATTTTCCGAGTCCCCGGTAGGCTTGGCTGTGTGATACACGAGGCGGGAAAATCTGTAGCAGCAGTGGCATAGGACGACGGATGAAAACCACCAACTCAAAGTTTTCGTGGAGCGTTGGCTCATGAACAAAGAAACGGTATCGTTGACACGACGAACTTGTTCACGTAGCAATACGTTTTCCGCTTTCAGACGTGCGAAGTTGTCGACAAGAGCTTCCAGCACCGTTTGAGTGCCTTTCTTGGATATCAATGAACCTGTAGAACACGGAATGTCGTCCGTGTACGTTTCCGCATCCATTCTAAAATCTACGGTTGAAGTTCTAGGCGTAGGAATTTCGACGTTGTCATTTATTCGCTTGATGCATTTTGCACACTTTTACTGGCTCACCCCATCTTGCATGAGTAGGTCCTAGTCATTACTGACGATGTTGACACACTTGCAGTGAAAGCGAGTCGAACACATACAGCGAACAATATGTTTCTTTGTGTAGTGAAATCCCGCGGACCAGCTGCTACACACGTCCTTCCCAAACGCCACTCCTAATAATAGATGGCGGGAATTTGTGACGGTAATCCCTTACATTTGAGGCTCGGTGATCTGTAATTGTAATCGATAAGATTTTTCAAGTAACGGGCATAAGTCTGCGAAGATCTAACGAATTCGAAAATGTTTATAGCAAAAACGCATTTTGTATTTGTTTTATTTTTTATTAGCGTCAAGGTTTAGTTGTGGTTTATAACAAAATATAATTATATTGTATAGAGTGAAGTTTAAACGGACGCAATTAAAGCTTAAAACCTGTGAGATGTAGGCTATAAAACAGAATGATATGTTGCGGGTTGAAACACTTCATACTCAGCATCGCGCAAAATTTCGCTGTTTTAAGGTGACCTTGTAATTTAAGTATTTGTACTAGGCAATTAAGTATAGCACTCCATAAGGCTGGCCACAGGAGCCCTTATGCCAAGACGCTGTCAAAACGAAGAACTGACAACATTTGAACTTTAATGGATACTTTTCAAATGTCTGTGCCATCTAGTAGCCGGTACGGAAAGAGACCATATGAGAAATTGTTCGAACGTCTGGCAACACTCTGTGCACTACCATCTTTGTGAAATAATAGGAAGTGATAGCAAGTGACTTAAACTAAAGTTTGGAACTGCACAACCAGAGAAAAAATTCTTGAACGAAAAAGTATATATTGACCCTAAACAATTCACAAATACAAGAAGTATCAGAACGAATTAAGACTATAGTATCCAGACAACTGGAGCGAGAATGGACAAATGACGATTTAGTAAACACTTTTAAAAAAAGAGTTAGATAAGTTCAATATCAAACAAAAAGGAAGAAGGAGAAGGGAGCACACACCAAATAGCTGGTAGGGCAGTGAATTTATGGCGGCCATAGCAGGGCCACAAGGGGCCTCAAGGGAACACAGATGGACGAAGGAAAGGAGGGACTCACCCGCTGAGGTAGCATCGAAGTGGAATACTTTTCAAGAAAGAAAAGGAGAGACATCTGCTCTAATCCAGGCCAAGATTAATAGAGGTGGAGTGCAGTGTATGGTGGAGGTAAATCAAAGTTATATGAATGCAGCAAAAAGGTTCTGAGAGTACAGTAATGCACAGGGAAGAAAAACAAGGGTTTAAGTGCTCATTGACCACACACAAAAAAATAAATCTAGAGGACGAGGAGGCAAGGGAATTTATTAGATGAATAATCGAGGCAACATCCGCAGAACTTGAACAGAACAAAATTGGAAAGAGCACAAACAGCAACACGGCACATGACGAGAACGCTAGCGAGACAACTGAGACGACCACGAGCGATTGTGATAGAGCAGAACTAAGGTACCTGCTGAAATGGCAACAGGCCCAGATAGCATAGGAATGAGACTAGTCAAGACATTAGGAACAAAAAGCAAATTAAAGTTAAGATAGGCAACTGATTAAACAATAAGTGGGGGAGAGGTACTCAATGACCGCAGACTAAGCAGAATGTGAATGCTCTATAAAGGCAAGGGAAATAAGGACAGCGTAACATCATACCGCCCAATAACAGTAACTTCGGTCCTGTACCGAGCAGCGATGGAGGTAGTAAAAAAAAGTCAAAACCATTTACAACTCCCTGTAACGCCGAATTAGAGCGCCGTTCTTGAGGAGGAATGAGTATGGAAGGGTACTGAGGGGGAGGAGGGAAGGGTATTGAGGGGAGGGTAGACCCCTCCTCGTTCTCATCCTTCTCCCCTCATTCTTGAATATGCTCCGGGGGGTCACCTGACCTCGGGGGGAAGGTGTCACGTGACCTCGGGGGAGGGTGGTGTCACGTGACTTCGGGGGGGGGGGGGGGGTCACGTGACCTCAAGGGAGGGGGTCACGTGACCTCGGGGGGTGTCGCCGCTTAAGCCGGAAACAAGCCCCTAAGAGGTTTGCTCTAAAAAAAAAATGGGCCGAAAAGATTTTAGGTGAGCTGCAGAACGGGTTCCGAAGAGATAGAAGAGTAGATGAAAACTTATTCATTATTACTGAATATATAGAAGTCGCACGAATGAGAAGGAAATCATCATTGAGATTTTTTCTAGACATTAAATGGGCGTGCGACAATGTGAGTCGGGAAAAGCTCTGGGTACAGCTGAGAGAGTATGATTTAGATGCAGACTTGATTAGGCTTTTACAACAGGTATACGCAAATAATGAGATTGTTATAACATGGGAACCGGAAATAACAGAACCGGCAGAAATAAAAAGAGGAATCAGGCAGGGTTGTCCCCTATCACCTCTACTTTTGTAATATACCTGAGTATAATAGAAAAGGTATTAGAAAAGTGCACTTTAGGTTTTAATATGTCCTATATGTAGAAAGGGAAAAAAGTAAACCAAGTTATACCAGGAATGTTCAACGCACACGTTGTACTGTTAGCAGGTAGCAGGGATACGCTACAGGAGCTGATCAATATTTGTGGAGAGGAAGGACACTCTTTAGGCCTGAAATTAAGTAGCGACAAGTCGGGAATAATGGTTTATAATGAGGAGAGGGGGACCTTTTGAAAATTTAGGACGCTTTAATTGAACACTTGGAGAAGTACAAATACTTAGGAGTATGGCTCAATGAGTGAAAACAATACTTAGAAGAACAGGAGGAAAATATGCTAAAAGAAAGGGAAAGGAATGCAGGAATTATGAATCATAGGGCACTATGTAGTTACAAAAGATATGAGGTTGTTAGGGGAAGATGAAGAGGAGTCACGGTACCGGGGTAGTTTTTTGGCAATGCGGTGTTTTGCACGAAATCTGAGGTACAGTCTAGCTTAGAGACTACGGGCCCTAAGCTGGACGCTAGGCGAAAACGACAGCGAGAAATCTGGCGGCCGCGATTGGCCAACGCCACACTTGACCTTGGCGCTGGCCAATCATAGCTGCCGAATTTCTCGCTGACTTTTCCGCCAAGGGTCCAGATTAGGGCCCCAGGCAGATGAGCTTGGGCAGACCGGCACTGGGGGCGTATGGGACTACACCAAATGAAGGAGTTCAGGGAAACATGGGTTGGGAATCTTTCGAGGCTAGACGGGCGATCGGAAGGTTGAAATTTGAATAAACACTGTACACAATTGAGGATACACGATGCGCGAGAAATGTACTTAAGGAACTGAACATGAAAAGTTTTAACACTATGTCAATAAACCGAACCCGAAATCTAAAATTTAAATACCATCAGTCAAGTGGGGGGCAGAACAGATTGTCACAGTAAAAAAGGATGTAAAAAAAGCCGAGAGAGATGTGGGAGGAAACAATGCAAGAAAAATCAGCTTCAACTACGTATACGAGACGAAAACACGAACAAAGAAGAAACATTGGTGTGATAATTCACGGGGGAACTCGTTGTTATTTGACGCTAGAATAGGAGCATTGAGGACGAGGACATATAGGACAAAGTATGAGGAAATTAATACGCGGAGTGCCGTATGCAAAGGGGAAGGCGAGACAATGAAACCAGTGGTGTTGAGTCGCTAAAGCCTTGCTCCCGCCCTCCCATAGGGGGTGGCGAATTTAGCCGGAGCGCTATGCTTGCAGAGGGGAATGGAAGAATGGATGATAAGTGTACTTTAATAACAAAGAGGGGATTAAGACTGGTGAAAACTATCTACGGAGAATGGAATGACGTACAGTTAACTAACACAAGTGGGGACAGCCGGGACAAAGAAAAGTTGGGACTCCCTCCCTCATGGCTCCGGTTCAAACTCTCCACCCTGTCTCCCAGGGGGCCCAGTGCCAGGATAACGGCTACTACTTTTGACCAGAAGAAAACTGGCGGCTTCCTCACCCGGGGGGGAGGGGGGGGGAAGAAAGGAGGAGATATCACAAGAAGGATATCTAGTTCAAAGTGGATTGGATATACACTATGTGAACCTTTTTTTACAACCAAAAAATGGTTACAAAACATGGACCTACAGACTGAGGGTGCGATTTTTCTTCTAGATTTAAGGGGTGTTCAGGACTATAAAAAAAATCTAATAATAATAAAAATAGGGTGGTTCAAGAAAAATAAACTCTCTCTGGGTACAAAATGCCAGCTACGAGAAACCGTCAGTAATTACAGAAAAAATTACAAATTAGCCAACCAATTACCTAAAACTTACTCATTTACTTTTTATTTAGTTAAAATAAATACATGGTTCCAAGTACATACTTGATAAGTGTCGTAGAAAACCACTAAATTAGTCAGTTTTAGTACGACTGTATGCACGTGTGGGAGCGCGGGGGTGCTTTAAAGTTACCGCTCGTGCAGCAGGCGCAACACCGGCCATAAGAAAATGCAGATGATATTCTTATCCGCGCTTTTGGATCGCTGGCCTTGCGTCTCCCGCAGAAGTGCTAACTTTGGCGGACCCCCATGATTTCCGCGTGATAGAAGTCATGCAATAGTTGACTGATTTAGAGTTCTCGATGACGCTTAGCAATTAGAACAAAATATTTATTTTCACTATTTAAAGGTCGATTAGTAAATGTTATGTAATTAGTTGGCTACTTAGTATGTTTTTCATATTTCTGATGTCGACCGTGGCTGATCGTTCACTCCCGCAAAGTTTTTTTTATATCACCCACCCTAAAGTTAGGAAGTTTTGAAAGTATTCGCTGATCCACCAGGTGTAGTTAAACATTTAGTATGAGACATGCGTCAGTGCTTGTGAGTATGAAAAAAAAACTGATTACTTTATTGCACCCTAATGAAAAATAGACTACCATTTTTAAAACGGTACAAATTTCACTTTACATTCTTACCAAATATTATAAATAGTGTTTATTTATCATAATGTAGATGATACAATACCACAAAAAGCAGCACAGATACGGCTTGACAAGTAACCGACCCCATTCTTTAAGAAATCGCAATAGCAGCGATTGCATCCCAAACCCAACAAGCAGGCTCATTTTCATAGCAGATAAAGCTTACGTGTCGAAACAAACCTCTTGTTGTATCAAGGCGAAGTTTCTTTACTGATTCAACGTAGTGCTTGAAGGATGACACCTGGAATACTGGCAATTTCTAGGACACGACTATGGATGTTGATGAAACTGGCGACGGCAAGACCTGGGACCATGATTTTGAACAGTTTTCTGAGGAGGTAAGTAATGTGTTTTTGAAATTGTAACAATTGAAACAAGTCGACTGGTAAAACGCTTTAAAAGTTAGGTTTGAAGCTTTAAAGGATATTTCTCAATAATTTATAAACACTCAGGAAAAGGAAAACCGCACTGCTAGTTGCTTCATCAGCACGCTGTTTGATCATACATGAAACTTTTATGAAGCACAGAGTCAATACTATAATGAGAAGGGGTGTCAAAATTATCCGCGCATTTAATATCATAAAGATATGATAATGTACTCAAGAGGTGACACTGGCGCTGGTGTCTGAGACATTCGGAATGCAAATTGAACCAGAGAGACCCCAGTGTACTTTTGCGGTGCTCCTGTGCGTTCCTATGGGAAAACGCGCGTGCGTTTTTTCTCTTTGCTGGGAAATAACATAGATCACTTCTGTTGCTTTGATCGAACCGAAATGCATGCACATTTTTTATCATTGTAAAGGCTTAACTGCTTTAGCTACAGTATTTTTTTTCGTCAATAAATGACGTTAAACTTCGCTATATTTAAGGTTCAGACCTGTGTTCCATAGCAGGTGCGTAAATACGAGCGACGATTCCAAGCAAAATAACAGTTGAAAAGAATGTAAAGTGTTCAAGGTTTGCCAGCAGTCTTGCCACTATATGAAAACTACACCATCCTGCAACTTTATTACCGGTTAAAATATTTTTACGTAAAGTATAAATTACGTGGGCTATGAAAAGTGTTCTTAAATATTATTTTCTACGCTATGACAGACTTTATCGTGCTCCTGCTTTCTGGCCCTCCCTATTGTTAGATTTCAGGCGCACGGTGCTGGTTTGAAAACAGAACGATTCTTCCTGCACAAGCAGAGATACCAAAGTCATACTTATTTCTTGCAAATCGAACTACGGTAACGTGGCCTTTACTTCATTTTGATCGTGTTCATGCACAGGAAGCTACTGCTTCAATTTACTGCGTAGTTATCGCCATCTCGCTAGGTTTTTCAAATGTCCTTTGTTCGTTTGGCACGCGAATTTCTTAAGTTCAAAAGCGCCGACGCCGTGTTCGCACAACAATGTCCGATAGTGCACATACATGTATGCATGAAGCTGTATTAGCGCTTTATTATATGCCATGAATTCTAAAGAAAAACATTAGTTGACCAATACTTTAATGTCATGATTTAGAAATGTTTCTATTTGCTACCTTACAAAAATTCGTAAAATTTGCTCCTAAAATAAAGCTAAAAAAAAAACGCTCCCGCTTTTTATCCGTAGAAATGCATTACCGGTAGCATATCACCGGAAGTCAGTTTTTGACTGGTTGCTGCCTGCTTCAATTCGCAACAGCACACACGTGTCAGCTGAGCTCTGGCGTACATCATAGTAACTCTATGCTTACCATAACACATATTTAGGCTTTCCATTTTGCATTCTGCGCATGAGTTGATACTACTGTGGTCACGTTATTGTTGTTTAACCTTGATAGCGTAATTTGTCTTGCTTCTGTTTCACTGTAAGCATGGCCGCTCTGCTAGCAGCGTGCACTAAAGAGAAACAAAGAGCAATGGTTAAATTTTTTGTGTGCCAGGGGCTGAAATTTATCGGTGGCTGATCACACAATACGGGGACAGTGCTCTGCAACATAATAGTCTTTATGAGTGTATCTAGACGTTTGAAGTGTCCGTACAATCTGCATGTACGAAGGGGGAGCATGACGTCCATCGGTGCGGGGAGCGCGTAAAGGGTTGGGCGACAAACCGAAACATTTGTCCTGGAGGAAGTACGCAAGCAAGTGGCACTAGACAAAGTGCATTAAAAAGGGAGAAGACAATGTAGAAAAATTATGTACTTGTTCAACTCCTACATTTCTATAATTTAGTATAAAATGTAAAGTGCGGATAATTTTTTACTTGCCCTCGCATTACCATCCACCACAAGGTGTCCTAGAAGGTTTAGTGTGAGAAAACATAAATTTTATTATTGACGGGGTTGAATTCCACTCAACATTTTTGAGCTATAACTATAATAAAAAATGACACATGCATATACAAATAAAATAAACAAGTATTTGAGTGAAAACATTACTATCCCATTTTACATTAGAGGTTACGCGCACAATCAAACTAACGATCACTGCTGTCGCAGATTTTATTACAACAGGAATATATTTTTTTATAAACCATATAGTGTGAAGGCGGGTGTGTGCGAAATGGTATATTCTTAGGTCCAGAACTGAAAGACCGAGTTTAAATTGTGCAATCTTCTATCCTCACTCGTTGCTGTTCGTAATATATGGAAGTTATTTTATGTAGTATATGACGTCGCAAGATTGCGTAGGTCAGGAAAAGTATTGATGAAAAGGGATGCGTCGCTGATACGTGTATGCATCAATGTTGTAATGGAACTTCGATGCACAACATAAACTTTGAACAAATTATACTAACTCAGTTAGCGTCAGGCAAATTGTTTATTTTATTTTATTAAAAAAAACGTTTAGATATTGGTATTCTAAAGCAAAACGATACTTTTAAAATATTGTTTGGAAGTTTTCCGTTTTTTACAGCAGACTCGATCGTCGTGGAAAGACTCACCGGTTTTTGAGGCCGCTGCTGAAAGCAGTTCAACCAGACGATTAAGTAAACCTATTGCGGAAATATCCAATTTCGCCCTGTGTAAAAACAACGTACTGGAAAGCAAGCTAAAGGTAGGTGCACGGTACCACCAAAAACCGGCCGTCAAACGTCAAAAGTTTCATTCGTTGAAATAACATAATAAACACTGCGTTGCCTGCACTGGAAATGGTTAGGTATAAAATAAATAATGCAAAGTTTAAGAAGTTCAAATTATATGGTAAGAGTGAATTTAGAAACGAATTTATAATAAAAATTTAGGTATTTTTAATTAAGGTCACAGAAATTATTTTTATTGCTGATATATCACTGCAGAGTGAGGGTCTATGTTGTATCTTAAACGGGGTGTGTAAAACCTCCACTATCAATCTACGTGAACCTGATAATATGTTTGTCTCTATGTAATTTTAAAATTTATTATATAACTTTCAGCCGTCGTTAGGGAAAGAAAATATTCTAAGAATACATGTTAGGATAATAGAAAAGATAAACCCGTGCAATTTGTTTTATTGTGGCTATGAATACAAAGTAAAACTTGTATTTGGCCTTAGAATTAGTGCTCGTATCTTATGCGCAAATACTGAAATCAATTTTAACTTCTGGCAATAAAGAAGGGTATTAACTCTGGGCATTGCAAAATATTCGCCGTTCTTAATAATGATAGTTCGCTACATGCTAAGAAAAGTAGCCTCTTACACGCCCATCCACTCTACAAAGTCACGCTCACTCTTTGTATGGTAGATTAACCTGCAGTCTTAATGGTGGTATCCACTTACCGAAGTGTTGCCATTCTAGCATGTCTTGAAATTCGGAATGGGATGTACTATCGGGGAAAAATGAAATGCGAACAGTGGAGCGCGTGGCTCGCGGTACAGGCTGCGCCGCCTGGAAGCGAGCCTAGGGGCGAGGGTGCGTGGCCTACTTCGATATGTTCATGCCCCTCGATTGGCGCTCCCCCAGCTTCGGCAGTGAGCCTCTCAGTGCGCTAAAAGCTATCACCGCTATCTTTGCTGGCTCAGCGCGTGCGGTGCAAAGAAGCTCGCCGCACTCGCCGAGAAGGCAAAGATAGCGGTGGCGGCTTTCAGCGCACCGAGAGGCGTACTGCCGAAGCTGGGGGAGCGCCAATCGAGGGGCGTGAACACATCGAAGTAGGCCACGCACCCTCGCCCCTAGGCTCGCTTCCAGGCGGCGCAGCCTGTACCGCGAGCCACGCGCTCCTCTGTTCGCGTTTCATTTTTCCCCGATAGTACCACAATAATGTACACCAGAAAGAATGGGGGTCAATTTTATTATGATATGCTAATAAAAGGATTCGGCATACAGGCTACAAATATACAGATATTTATATGGATTAGGACAAAACGTTGCGAACACTATAATTGGATCTCTGAGTAATGGGAAGTAACCATGTAAATGTCTTTATAAAAGGCATTTCACCTTACCATAGGACTGATCTGGGTCATTTTTACATACCTTCCCTCTGACCTATGACTTTGACGCAAAAGTATAAAATAATTTAAACCTTTTTGAGAGATTAACGACATGTTTGTGAATGTGTGGATTTTCTAGATGGTTCATTATAGTTTTATACATTATTTTCTGACAGTAAACAAAAGTGCTGAATTTCATTTGTATGCAACCTAAGCTTGTTTTTACTTTAAGTTAATAAATCATCACCATGTTATGCATAAATGTATGTTTCGTTCCAGGAACACAAGTATGAGTGTCCGAAGATCGAAAGGGAGAGTTTCGACTGCGGTGTCAAAGTTCTCAACGAAAACCTAGAAGATCGCCTGGACAAGGAGTGCCAGAAGCGAGTAGTTTTTTGCGAAGCGTGCCACAGTCTGGTGATTTGCACTCAACTTGGCGTAAGTGCTTGCTTTCTCTCGCGCGCTTTGTTTCTTAAAATATTGCTCAGAACATGTTTTAGACCCCAAGTATTTAGACTTTTCTGGTTCACTTTTATTCCTTTGTTATGCCGTACGCAGGATGGCCAATAACACCAAGAAAAAAAAAACAAGTACTGGTTCAAGGTTGCGCGCGAAAAGAACGCCCGAAGCCGCGCCCACAATGACGCTTAGGCGAGTAACGTACAGTTTAGTCACAGCGTCACTATATCCACTCTGTGCTCTCAGCGAATCCACCAAGTACTGGCCTCCGAGATAGTGACAACCCGACTGAGATGACTACATTACTCTTCTACGCGTCATCATAGAAAAAAACTTCAGGCGCTCTTTCCGTCTGCAATATTTAAAAGGGGAGAGAAGTCGTGAAAGTCTAATAAATAATGTCTAAAAAATCATCGATTATTCTTCAATTATTTTAAGTTGTCTGGCATCTAATATTAATGTCCTGAATACTGCAATTGCAACGTAAGCCATAGAACCCATTCAAAATTAGTCAACATAGTTTAGTTAATTAACCAACTTACGGTGACGGTTATTTCATTGCTTAATGAGCACCAAGTCTGGTGATTATTTCGTTAAGACCTACCCCCCAGTAACGCATCGTTTTAAGTGCGTTCAAAATCAAATGATGCACTCAGTACGCTCTAATGGTTTGGTACCTATATTTTATTTGGAGAATATCAACAACTTATTGAAGGCACTATTATAGCATGCCGAGCGGTCTTTCTAAACAACAAAGAAGCGAATATTTATATCGTTTATTCTTAATGCTGACTTGATCAACACTGAAAACCTGGTCCAGTCAATCTACGCGCTCAGGGTAAGTTGTGGGCGACATCGTTAATAGGAGTGTGCTATAGTGATTTCTGAAACCGAATCGAATTCGAATCGAATAATTGTGGCACCAAATCGAATACGAATTACGAATCAAATAATTTTCGAATACTTTCTGAATAGTAAGTAGACAGCTACTAAAGAAAAGCAAAGAGATTATAAAATTTATTTATTGTTCCAAAATGTTTCTTGAAATTATTGTAAAGACGCTACTAGACGATAATGAGTAGAGTTCAACGAGATATAATTAAATAGGGTTAAAAGCTACTAAAATATTAGAATTCTAAACATAATATCACAATTCACCCGGATGTTGAACATAAAATCAGAGTTCGCTTGAGCCTGGTACATCCTGAAGCAATGTACTGACTAGGAACTCTACATCCTCTTTTCATTCCTTGTTGTAGCAGATGTCCTTGAATCGAGGATCAAGGAAGGTGGCAAGGGCGTGGTGTGCCAGTGTACTTACGTCCAGGAACCTTGTTTTCACTGATCTAAGAAGATCGTGAGAAAACGTATACATTGTTTCACTTGCGCCCTCAAAAAGCAACATTTTCAAGCACTGAACAAGTGGAACGACCATGGAAAGTGTTGGGAAAGACTGGAGACAAGCAGTTGTTGTGGCTTCTTGAATCGGTTGCATGGGAGCGGCCGAAAAACTTCCATATTCTACTGCGCTTTCTTTTCGAACAACTTCCTGCTTCTGCCACTTCTACTTCGCTGATACAGAGTGGCGGTACAGTTGCAAGCAATTTTGAAACGTTTCGACAACACGATTTCCGAAAGCGTTCCCAAGAATTTTCGTGCGAAAGTGGTCCCTAAAGGCTGAACCGCATGTAAGCGATTTAGCGAGAGACAAGACGAGCGACAGCGACGAGAGTCAGCAGCGAGTGATGGAGATTTCTCACTGTCGCTCGTCGAGTCGCTCGGTGTTTGGATTTCTAGAAAACGTCTTCATGACCTTGGTCGCTTGCTCACACTACTTCGCTGCGGCTTGCCTCATCGCGCGACTGAACGAGCGACAGCGAAGCGGGTCGACGTCGCCTGTCTCGTCTCTTGTCGAATCGCTTTCATGCGGGTTATACTTAACAGTGGTCCCTGATCGAGGCAACAGCAACGTACGTATAGAGAGAAACTGCTGCTGCCGAGGATATTAATCATTGTCTAGGAGAAGAGGCTACGTATTGCCATCATGCGGGCACGTATGGCAGGCGTACCGAAGCGCTGTGGGACGCTTGTGAAGGGAATCTCGCGGCGCGACTGTAACGACTAATCGGAAATTATTCGAAAAATATTCGAAACTTTTGAAAATTATTACTCGATTCGATTAACAAACCGAATAGGGTAATATTGGATTCGTTAGTCTAAAATGACGAATATTCGCACACCAATAATCCTTAATGCAAAACGCTGTTCAATATTTTAAGATACTGCCAAATTTTAAAGTAGTTTACACTTCGAAGAGTACTGCTGGTGGGTACAATGATGCCTTCTCTTTGGTTACCGAGAAGATCAAGAGAAACTGCTGGATAATATTGCTAAATTGTCCTATAGTTCACTTTTTTTTTTAAACTTTCCTAGCGAATTTGTGCCAGTCACCAGGAAAACTACTGATGCTGAATGAATAAAACAAACAGAAAATGCAAGTTATTAGCATGTTGGAACGATTGGTTCTTCTTTTCTAAATATATTTGGGATAAACTCCATATCTGATCATTACATATCGCTGAAACAAAACACTGTGTTCTTTATGAGTAAAAACAAAGTGCACTTGCATCAAAATAAGTAACAATGTGCGGGTATTAGTTCTGTAGACGACTACAGAGTGCGTGATGTAAACTTATTATAGTGGTCCCGAAGGGCAACAAATGACGTCACAAACGTCAAATTTTTATGTTATCGGATTTCGCGACCGTTGCGGTTGGTTCTAGAAGGCACGGCAAAACATACGAGCGAACTGAAGTGCCGCTGCCGTCGCGGAGTTCCCACTCCTGGCTGCTAAAACTTCTGTTGCTTGTCAAGCTCGAGAGGGACCTGCAGTAGAACAGGCGTCTGCCACATTCATCACCTCTGCTGTTACTCGGCCAGAATCGCGTACGGCGACAACATGAGACTTCTGAGGCAAACCACTTTTTAGGACGTTTTGAGCAGACCAGTCGAAGACGCGTTCCATGTGAACTGTAGTTGTACCTATTGTACTGCTTCAAACACAGTCATAGTCATGCCGCTTGTTTCAGGAACGCGCTAATGTAAGATAAAATGAAGGGCTACCCAAGGCCAGATAATATCAATATAGTTGAAAGTAAAATTAATGTAAGTTGATATATTTCTTGGATTTATTTAATAAGCTACACCTCTTTTTAAACTCCTACTGATTCAAAAGGAGGGCGACATTACCACGCGCGTCTCCGAGCAAGTGCGCTCGTGACCGAAAGGTTATGCGTGCCATTTGCCACAACACACGAGCGCCATTTATAACTCTGGCGTACATTATAATAACTCTATGGTTTTACTCACTGAAATACAGAAAACCAAGCTATTAGAGCACAAAATGGCTGGGTGGTTTCATTCGAGGTCAGACAGTGGAGTACATTTAAAATTGTTTGTTTATCTTTACGATTGGTTTTGTGTTTCGGCATGTACTAAAATAAAAACAAGGCTTAATATCTGAATCTTGAGTCATATTTAGTTTTAAAGTGAATTGCTCAAGGAGCAGAAAATCTGACGGAATTGTGAGGATTTTCATCTGTAACATTTTAGATTCGCGCTCGAGTAAAACTGTCATGTGTCTCGATATGGTTACTTTTAATTCTCGTACCTACTTCTAGTAAAGACGAGCACCAATATTTTCTCACGGAGAATTAATGCAATATTGATAAATTATAGTCTAATAAAGTTAGGCAAGTGGTCGTTCTGCAAAAGCACGCCCTGTTGGTACAGGAAGCTTTCAAGGCATGGGCATCATTCGTTGCAACATATTTTTATAACCTATAAGCTTCTAATGAAAATGCTTGCTAATAGCTTGTACGCATATAAACAATTTACTACTTCCATAAATAATAAATTATTGCTGAATATACTTACAAATTCTACATTGCATAGCGTTTTGCGAAATGAGACTGATATAAGCATGTAGTAATGAAATAAGCATGTAGTAATGAAATAAGCATGTAGTAATGAAATGTTCCTCCACCAGTTTACGTAAAGAGAAATTCACCACTGTACTTCTTTTTGTACTATACGTTTACCTGATTGTTTCCATCTAGAATTACTTGAAACCCCTCACGGGATATAATACAATAGTGTAAGCCACAACAAATGTACTGGAAAAATGAATTATTTTATGTTATTTAAATGTTCTTGCTCAAGCCCAAATATTGTACAAGCCAATAACACATAACAAAATGTTGTGAACCCGTTGTTTGGGGTTTCGAGTATTGAGAAGTCATCGTGTAAATGTCTTTACAAAAGAGAAGTTACCTAAACTTAGGATACATCAGTGGCATTCACCAGTTACCGGCCGCCCTCTGACTCATGACTATACGGAGAGCAAGTCGTCTGCATCTTGCGCAGGGGTTGCGGTGACGTCAGCACGACGCCCAGTTCTGATTGGCCTTGATTGAAAGGATAGTGGGTAGACCTCAGTGCCAGATGCCTCGAGGTCTTCGCACTCTTATTTTGAACTTGCCAATAAGGACTCGACATTCTGACATCACCGCGACCCCTCCTGTGCAAGAACTAGACGAACTTACCCTCTGCATTGCCTAACACCTCACAAGAATCCAAGTTTTCCTTTGTACGATAAACGGCATGTTTAAAAATCTGTTAATATCCTTGCGGGTTCATTCAATTTTCATCACGGGAGTTTGTGCGAATATTTTGAAATTTTCATTGAAATAGGGCGGTATGGAAAAGAAAGAAACTATCTTAGGGAACAAACTGTCACCCACGGTGGACGTCAGGATTATTGCAAAAACCCACTTCTTATTTACCAAAATAGTTACATAAAATTTAATTAGCATTCAAATTAGTCAAATATACACATGGTTCAAGTCAGTTCACTAATTTAGGAATTTTTGAAACCGGTGGCAAGCGGGAGAATGCACTGAAGTTTCCACTAGGGCACCAGGCGGAAGGCTGGGGATGCGAAAACGCAGTAGATGAGATAATAATCCAGGTTTTCGCTTTTCCAGCCTTCCGTTTGCTACAACAATTTTACCTTTAGCATTTTCCCGCGCTTCTCACGTGCTTCAAGTCTTGCTACCATTAACTTATTTAGGGGGTTTCGACGACGCTCAGCAAGTTCATAATTTAAGCTTTCTTTATTTTTATTAATAAGAACAGTAATAGGTAAATATTACGTAATTATTTGGCTAATTTGTGTGCCTCTTGCAACCTCGATGTCCGCCTGTCAGTTCCTTTCCGACGCGTTTTTTTTTACCACCTATTTATAGGGAGTTTTGAAAGTATTAGTAGAAGCAGAAGGTATTTTTTTTATGGTAAACAAAAGCGCTATGATTATATTTTTGTCTGTTTTCAGTTTACGACCTACGCTGGTTTTTATTTCTTATTTTTAATGATCATCACCATCGTATGCACAAGTGTATGCCTTTTCTCAGAAACACAAGTCTGAGTGTCCGAAGATCGAAAGGAAGTGTTCCGACTGCGGTGCCAACGTTCTCAATGAAAAAATACAAAATCATCAAGAAGAGGAGTGCCAGAAGCGAGTAGTTCTTTGTGAGGCCTGCAAAAGTGCAATGTCCTATGATGAATTTAGCGTAAGTTGTTTTTAAGACGCGGGAAGAGGTGCAGAACTTGCTGTCTCTCTTGCGCTGCTGTTTCTTAAAATAATACCCAGAGTATCTCTTATACCCGAGTTTTTTTTAAATTTTTTATTTCTCTTTCATTTATGTTTTGACGAAGAAAAAATCCCGATAATACTAAGAAGAAAAGACAAAAAACAAAATCTAATTTTAAACTCGCACAAACAAAAAGAAAAAGCGCCCGATGCTTAGCTTACAATGGCGCTCAGACGAGTGTCGTAGTCATGAGTCAGGTTCTTAGTATTTGAACAGTGTGTTGGCTGCCCCTTCTTCAAAGACACGCCACCGAGATAGTGGCCTCGTTCAATTTACCTGCGCCAGCTGTACTATACAAGTACAATAACTCGCACATTTCTGCAGCGGTGCAGGCTGGTGCAAGTAAAAAAAGAATAACCCCACTGACAACGTAATTGAGATGACTACGTGACTCTTCTAAGCGTCAGTGTGAGGAGAGCTTCGGGCGCTCTTTTTAGGCGCGATTTTAAAATCGGGTGAGAGGTCGCGACAACTAATCAGAGTATTGACTCCAGACGCCATTGCCTGTTAGCAAACTTTTTCAATTGGTGTAGCTCCTAATAGTAATTGCCAAAAATAGCGCAATTGCAGCGTGCTCTATAGAAACAACATTGAAAAATATAATCAGCAGATATTAATTAAGTAGCCGACTTACAGTGACTTGTATTCAGTCAAATAATGTTCGTCAAGCGCGAGACATATGTGCTGATACGGACACCATGCGATTCTCATCCCCTTTTTACAGAAAATAGTTTGAAATAAAATTAAGCACCCTGCATATTGTCCAGGTGTTGGACATACATTCATTTCATTTGGAGTATACCTACAGTTCTTAGTTCGTGATGCTATCTTGTTCAACATGAATATTTTGCTTCAATAAACATTTGCGGTCAGTGGAAGTTGCTGACGGCATTTTTAATCGGAAGCGATCTTTTAGATACCCATATATGTATACGCACTACCTAGTCTTAAGGACGTTTGCATTTTTGAGAGCACTGTTGATGGGTTTAGTTTGATATCTTATCCCGAATAAACCGATAAGATCAAAAGATATTCGCTGACACTATTTCTGTCTTTTATTTTGTTCCCTGTTTTTAGTGCGCATAAGAAATGTATACCAGCCCACAAGCGAAAATACCTATGTTTGAAGAATACAACCAAGGAAAAAGACATTAAAAACTGAATCGAACTTGGTTTCGTGTCAAGACATCTTGTTATCGATTCTATTTCTACCGAATACATTACAGTACATTACCAAAATAAAATACCTCGTTCCATACGAGTAAACGAAGAAAAGCGATATTGTAAAAATAATTAAACAACAGTTATCGGACGTAAGTTCCAAAGACGAATACAAAGTGCGTGATTATGAATTACGCTAGTAAAGACAAATATAGTCTAGACGGCCTTCTCATTAATAAATCGATTTTATATGTATAGTTTCTAACCATAGTCCGGCATGCATGGAAAAATAGGGCAGGTAGTACTTAGCTTGTGTTATAATTTTTATCGTAATTTGAAGGAACATGATCAAGAATGCCCCGAGAAGCCAGTGGTCTGCGATGACTGTGAAGGCGAGGTACTACGGAAGGAGAAGTTCAAGCACGCCTCCGAGTGTCCAATGCGTGTTGTGGGCTGCGAGAGCTGCAAAGGATTCTACGCCTACTCTACAGAAAAGGTGAGGAATAAACTGACGGTTGATTCTACTACGGTACCTGGAAAGCGTGTTCGACTGGTGTGTTTGGGGTCCTATCTCGCCCTGACATAAAAAGTGTCCCCGAAGGGGGGTTGCTCATGACGTCACAAAAAAACGAATTGTCATGTTAATAAATGCTGCAACCCTAGCGTTTGGTGCTACAAGTCACGGCAAAAAGTACGGGCGAAGGCGAGTGTCGCTTCCGTCGTGGAGAACCAACCAGGGACTGCTAAAGCTTCCGTGCCACTGTCAAGGTAAAAAGCGACCTTCAGTAGAAAAGGCGTTTGCCAGATTCACAACCGCTGCTGTGGCACCGCCAGGATCGCGCCCGGCGGCAACATAACACTTTCGTGACGTCATCAGACGGAACTGGACGGCCTGCTTTTTAGGACGCGAGAAACCATTGAGTTATTATAATGTACGCTAAAGTTTCAACCGGAGCTAGTGTCTATGCGACTTCCGTAATGCAAATTGAAGCAGACAGCAACCGGTCTACTTTTGCGGCGCTCCTGTGCATTCCTATGGGAAAACGCGTGCATTTTGTCTCTTCACCGGAAAATAACCCGCAACACTTTGGTTATTTGGGTGGGACCAAATAGTATGTACCTTGATTAACATTGTAAATCTGTAATTGCTTTAGTTAGCGCATTTTTCCTCATCAGTGAAAGATGTTCCACTTCGCTACATTGCAGTTCAAATCATGGGTTCCGCAGCAGGTGTGTAAAAACAAGCGACGATTCAAAGCAAAATAACAATCGAAAGGAATACAGAGTGTGTTCGAGGCTCGCCAGCATTCCGGGGACGCTTACATACTGCTAAAATGCCAGTCTTGCCACTATATAAAAATAAACTCGTCTAGTATCTTTACGAGCGGCTAAAAACATTGAAAACGTAAAGAATAAACGGCGTTGGCTATGAAAGGTGTCTCGTTTTATTATTTTTTCTCTGCCAGGTAGCATTTATCACGCACTTGTTATAAAAATTTCGAGCGTGGCGGTGACGATTTGAACGTAGAACAAGCATATTCGCACAGAGCAGAAAGAATAAAGCGGTACTTACTTATTGAAAATCGAACTTTATTGCGTGGCCTTCAATTTATTTTGATCGTACATGCACAGGGAGTTACTGATCCAGTGCTACTGCGCAATTCTTGCCGTCTTTCTTATTTTTCCAGATGTCCTTTCATTTGACACGTATATCCCCCATGCTGAAAAGCGCCGACGCGCGCACTAACAGTGTCCGAGAGTGCACATAAATACACGTGCGATGCCGTTTTCGCACCATTTTTAATGCAATGATTTTGAACGAAAAACGCCAAAACTCGCCAATTATTTTGCCGGCCTTACTGAGAAATGTTCCAAGCTACCTACTACGTACGAATCATTCGGGATATTTGCTCTTATGATCGAGCGCAGGGAGAAAATAAACGCACTTTTTCCCTAGAAATGCATTACCGGAAGTCCTATTTCAACTGGTTGCTGTCTGCTTCAATTTTCGTCAGCGCACTAGCGCCACTTGAACCTGTAGAGCACATTATGATAACTCTATGCGGGAAACAGTCCAGTCAGAGACGCGTTCCATGTACCGAATAGTTGTGCGTAGTAGGTTTCCGTAAACATTCTCATAGTCTCGTGGTTTGTACCGAAAACGTGCTAATGCAATATCCAAAAAAGGGCTAATAATAACCAGATAATAATCATCTATAGAGCTTTCCATCGCTTATCACCCGGACGAAAAACGCTGAGTCACTGAGCTGTGGACGTATCCGCAACGTCCCATATACCATCGACCAGACCAACGGCGCATGCTCAGAAGGCGTTCCACAGCCCAGCAGACAAAGATGGCAGCGCCCAGAAGTCGACTTTTGCAAAGGTCTATAGTTGAAATAGATCTTAATGTGTGTCTATATATTTCTTGATGTTATTTATTAAGGTACACCTCTGTTTAAACTTCTACTTATTTTAAAGGGAGGGCGATATAAGTAATGTTTATTAATTATGTTGGTCACTTATACTAGACACCACAATTTCTGCGGATGAATGGATGTTAATGGCTATAGCCTCTGTACCGGCGGTAGCATGCGCTACCTAGCCGAAGTCTAAAAAACAAAACAAAAAAGTGATTCCACCCGCCCTTTTAAAACCAATTTTCTCCCCCTAACTATCACCAGGCAGTGTGGGATATCACCAGGATGACCTTCAAGAAATCGGGCCAAAAAAAAAAAAAAAAACATCTTGCTTTTTTTTTTTTTGTCGAGGGAGTCACCAATTTTCGACTGGTCAAATTTTGTCGGCCTTACCCCAGCACCGGACTCATTCACTGGGAGACAGGGTTAAGACTTTGGGCCGGAGCCACGCAGGAGGGAGTTCCAGTTCTCCTCTGTCCCGCCTGTACCCAGCTGTGCTAGTTAGTTGTCCGTCATTCAATTTTCCCTAGATAATTTCCACCAATCATCTAATCGTCTCTTTGTCAATGCAATACTTTTCTCTTCCGCCCTTCCATCGTCGCCAGTAAAACCCAGGGCCCTGGGCAAATCCGTTACCCCTTCAGGTAGGACAGGGCGAAGCACCGTGTACTTCAAAACCAAGTGCTCTAGTGTCTCGCTATCATTATGGCAGGCGATACCTAATCTGTATATCCCCTGAGATTTAGCCCTATACGTTCTCGTCCTCAAAACTCCCGTTCTTGCCTCGAACAGCAAAGCACTTCCCAGTGAATTGTGAAAGTTTTTCCTCTCTTATGTCCTGCTTTCGTAACTTGTACACTCTTAAAGCTGATTTCTTCTCCATTCTTCCCTCCCACATTTTCCTGTCTGTCTCGCACCCCCTTTTTCACTGACGTAGTCTGTTCAGCCCCATCACCTGTGTGTAGGTTTTTAAATGTAAACTTTCGGGTTCGGTTTGTCCGTTTTGTGTTTAAACGTTTCATGTATAAATACTAGAATATCTTTCGTGCCCACCGCGTATCATTCATTTCAGTCAACCTTTGTTCAAATTTCAACTTACTAATTGCCTCCCTGCTCTCAAAAGACGACCATCTCACGTTCCCCCGTACTCCCTCATTTGGTGTTTCTCCATGTGCTCCCAGCGCCAATCTACGCTGCGTCAAAAAGTACACGGTTGTTAGATCACGCTATGAAATACAGACAAAAAGCTGTCATAACACAACATGGTTATAGGTGGCTTTATTTGAGTTCAGGAAGTGGTTTTTATTGTAATTTTGGACTTTCTTTAAATGTTTATATGTTGTGGCGTAAGCGATACAAAAGACTACTCTTTTCATTTGAGAGCTAAAATATATATGTAGTAAAAAAAAATTTAACTGGAGCGTGAAGGACGGCGGAATATTTTATTGTAGTCTCTGACATGTTACATTCGCGCTTGGGTCTAAAATATTAACCACAAATGCTTCTTACACCGGAAAAAATATTTTAGTTTTCCTTTCATTTTTGTAGTAAAGCGGAGGACCCAATATTTTCTTACAGCCAAGTCAATGATGACGCAATGCAATGTTAACACATTGTAGACTCGCATCAATTTAAGTGGGTGATTGCTCTCCGAAAAACAAATTCTGTTGGCAAAAGAAGCTTTTAATGTAGAGGCGTCATTCGGTTGTAATATATTTTATGCTATTAGAATCGAATGATAAGGCTTACTAATAAATTATACACTTTTTAAATAAGTAAAAAGATATGAAAATAATAACTACTTGCAGGAAATATTTATAATTTTTATTAAAGTTAAGTTTGTACGCAATAAATTAAGATAAACTGCTAGAGTTAACATTAACTGAAGAGCGTGTTGGTAACAATGACTGGCAACAGAAAGAATAAACTCCGGACAAGGGATAAATCACATTTATTTCATGTTTTAGTTTCGTTTTTTTTTGTTTTATAGACAATGTTACATTGATGATTGTAGTTGATGCTTTATATTATTATTCTAGATAGCCTGACCAATATATTTAATTACAGGAGCACAGGGAACAGTGTGAAAAAAAGAAACTTGCTTGCGAGTACTGCAAATTGGAACTGAAAGGCGATGATGAAGTAAGTATGCGTTATAAATCTCAAAGCGGACGTTTTGCCTGATTCTTAGAGTACGGTGTTAAAAGAAAGTATATATTCTCCCGGCAGCAAAGAGAGTAATTTCCCCAAAATTCTACCGGCAGTCGCGTCCTGTTGGCGGTGGCCATCAGTTCATAAATCGACGTTTCGTCGACAGATCGTTTCATCGACAGATCGTTTCACTGACAGCTCAGATCAGCTTTATTCTGTAATGAGCCGTCGCAGAATGTCACGGCGAAGCGGCGGTAACGGGTGTACCCGAGTAGGTTATCACGCGCTCCAGTGACGCTCGACGAAATGTCCCTGCAGCGTGGTATTCAGTAACGCGTGTCATTGAAACGTGTCCATGAAACCTGTACCCGCAAAACGTTGTCCACGAAACATGTTTCCACGAAATGAAGGGACAATAAGAAACTTGGTATTTTAACGGCAGTCGTCGCATAGTTTCTGACAGCCAATGGGAGGTGTGACTGCCGGGAGAATTTCGCGGATTCTGCCGTCCGCCGGGAGAATAGACATGGCCATGTTTAGATTGTTTAAGCGGCGCAGAGTACTGTCTTTTTTTTTTTTCGCGCACGACAGGATTAATTGTTTATCTACTGCTGGTACCAGAAACATTTATCTGTGCAACTTTGAAACTTCATCTTCGGCGGATGAAACGATTCATTAGGTGCAGCTTCCATTCGGAAAATAATCTTTCCATTCCACCAGAATCGTGGCCAAGGCAGCGGTAATTAATTGTTTTGACGGAAAATAAAGGTTATAAGTTTTTGGTATTAATAATATTATTAATATTAATAGTCATAACCATAGTCACTCATTTGTATTCAAGAACAATCATGAAGGTATACAAGAGTGCGGGGGCAATAAGGCCATTAAAGGCATGTGTGACGCCGCCCAATTAAACGTTACGAACACAATTGTATACTAGGATGTACGACAACAAAAGCAGTAGCTGCGGTACAAAGAAATGTGCGAAAGCTAGGTTGAAAGCAGTTTGGAAGACAAAACAAAAAAGCACGGTGACAAGTATAATATGTAGTTTACACGTCCTAGGTATAAAAATCGTTAGGAAGGATAACGGTTAGAGAAGATAAAATCTTATCCTTGCCTTCAGCTGTCTCAGGCAGTTAGCCTGCAGAATTTCAGAACGCATATTATTAACGACGTGTGGTACATAATATTCGCGTGCAGACCTGCCGTTTTGAGTCCGGACAAAGGAAATTTTGTCAGTATATTGAAAACGAAGCGAACGAAGTGAAGGGTTTTTGGTTTTTAAATGATCTGACCGAAAGTGGCGTAGGACAACAGTTCTAATAAATAGTGTTCGGAGACGTGGCAATATTAAATAGTAGGACAAGACAGTACCGCCAGGAATTTGCAAGCCATAATAATCAGTTTTCACTCTTTTTTTTTTTTTTCAAAATACAATCCATTTCGTTATTACAGTAGCCGGAAAAGTGTCCAAACACCGCAACTCTATATGTTAATACACTATATGCAAGCGCATGAATGATTAAATTACGTTCTGAAAAAGGCTGTTATAATAGGCTACAGGCACTCCTCAGTTTTGCACAAAGGGATATCAGTTGAATACCCCAGGTTAAACTACAGTCAATAACAATGCCAAAGTATTTTACTTTTTCAACATATACAAAAGGAAGACATTTTCAAGATACGTATTTTGAGTGATCTAAAATAATAAATAAATTCACTCGTACGTATTTAAGGGGATTATGAAAAAAAAATTTTTTTTATCTTATTTACATTAATGGCGATAAGATTCTGTTGAAACCATTTCATGACTGTAGTCGCAGCGCATTGCATTGATCGGGCAGCATCTTCGGAATTAATATGACGCATGACCATGAGAGTATCGTCTGCATATTAATAGTGTTTGGCTTCAAAAATATATGTATGAATATCATGAATCAACAAATTAACCTGCTGTGGAGGTAGAATTGCTCTCAGGATTGTTCGTAAATTTTGCGACTCTGCTGCTATTGCATGTTGTGAGCAATTTTGTAAGGTAGCTTGAAAGAAATAAAAAAAAAAAAAAACAGACCACAAAGCTCAAAACAATATATCTGCTTTAGTAGGAGGGAATGGCTAATATGGTTTCGATACATCTAAACATCCCTGAACAAAAAAAAAAACAAAAAAAAAAACAATGCAGATTGTTGGGTTTGTTGGTGCTGGGAATTTGACGTCGTGATGGCGCTTAAGACGAGGACAAAAGGCAGACTAGACCACACGGAGCGCTACTTCAACTGTTTATTTTGAAGAAAAAAAAAAGGGGGGGGGGACATATATACACTCAAACCGCTTCACCTCAGCCAATCCCAGGCCTCACCGTCACTCGCGAAAACACTATCTCCTTGTCTAACAGGTCAATGGAGGCGACGCTGACACATTGTTATCCAGACTGTTTTATCAAGTCTGCTTCTATTATTTCCCTGACCGTCTTATCTTTGTGTTTGGCTAGAATCGCGCATGTGTTGAACAAGGGCCTGCATCCACAATCGTGACAATGAACTGAAAGATGACCGTCACGGCGGTTATTAACGTTCAAATTGTGCTCTCGTAACCTATCATTTAGGCATCTGCCTGTTTGCCCGATGTACTTTTTACCGCATGACAACTGAATCACGTACACGGCTCCCTCTGCGCAACTGACGAACACGTTTCTATGCTTCTTGCCACAGCACAGGGGGCCTCCGCGAAAGGGGTTCGTTAATCTGCACAACCTGGCTAGCTTCTTCGGAGCCGAGAAAACAACCTTTGTATTCACTCGGTTAGCTATTTTCTTTAGGTTATGCGCAGTTTTGTGCATATAGAAGACAACCGCTATGTTTTGTTTAACTTGTTTCTCTTTGACTAAACCTGGACAAGGGTTATCTTGAACACTTAGCCCCCTGAGAATGCCTTCCACAACAGACACCAGCACACTCTTGGGATAACCGGCTGATAACAGGCGCTCTGACTGCTTCCCCAGACTCGAATCTGTCACATGGTTACACGATCTGCGAAGGGCGTTCACAAAACGCAACTTCACAAACCCTCTTTGGACGAGTTTAGAATGGGATGACTTATACGGCAACAGGGGCTTATTGGCCCTGGGCTGGTAGGTCCAACAAACATGATGATCCGACAGGGTTAGCTTGAGGTCTAGAAACTGTATGACGTTATCTATTGGAAGCTCATGCGTGAGGTGGAGGGGGGGCAGGGCGTCTCCAAAAGTGGACAAGAGACAGTCGACCGAGTGAAACCGGGACGTATCGTGGTCAAGAAAGACTAAAAAGTCATCTACATACCTAAAAATTTTCCTTCGATTAAAACCACTCAGGCGGTCCGAAAGGACGTTGTCATGATGGGCTAAAAATATATAACTCAGAATAGGCGCTAAACACGAACCGATACATATGCCTCGTTTTTGGAGATAAACATCGTTATTCCTTTCCGCAAAGGTCGAATTCAGATAAAATGAAAGCAAATCCAACACGTTTTCCACAGTCATGCCAGCTTCATTATGGAAAGCAACTAGCCCGTAACTCTTAATACATTCTTCCACGCAACCTAACAGTTTGTCATGGGTTAAGGAATAATACAGATCTTTGATGTCAAAAGAACAGGCTAAAAAAACTTTGTTAGTGTTCGTCTTCAAAAATTCAACGACCTCGTTAGAGCTCCTGATCAAAAAAGGGTCGTCAATGCTTAGGATTTTGTTTTTCTAGTAGAAAGGGTAGCAATCGACTTCTGCCATGTGCCTTGCTTTGAAACTATCACCCTCAACGGGCAGTTTACTGTGTGGGTTTTAGCACTGAACAAAATTTGCAGGCACCCGCTCTTGCTATTATCAATGCTGTTTACCAAACGGTCAAGTTCTTACCGATTGCACAGATCTCCTTCTACTTTAAAGGGGCACTGACACATCAAAATCATATTTTTTTTTATTAACCGAAACGATTGAAAACGATGCCGGGACATTACCCTCAAAATTTGAAATTTGGGAATTCAGTATTCGTGAAATAAAAAAACAATTTCCAAATGCCGAATTCGAAGTTCCCGCGCGATCGGCGCCGGTGCCTTGACGTCAAAAATTGCGGAGACCTGAGAGTCCCCTTTCTTTCACCACTCCCTGCTGTTGCCATGGTGACCCAAAGCGAGGGGGAAAGGAGCGAGCGGCGGCGTTCCGGCGGACCGGTTTTGAGCGGTGTCGCCTGTTTTCCGTTGGAGGATACAAATCCAGGAGACGGCACCACAACGAACTCCCGATTTTTGGTATTTCAAAAAGAAGGGCCGTAGTGCGTTCGCAATTGCGTTAAAAAACATGTTTTAGGATTGCCGTAATTAAATGTTATAGAGATGTCGCCTACAAAGCTTCTAAATTTTATGATTCTTGACGTCACCGATCAAAAGAAGCCAGGAGGCGAGAGGCGGGAAAATCAAACGCCAAAAATAAAAAGGCGCGCGCGGGAAAATTTTTTTTCGCGATGCGGTTTTTTTTGCGTGTCTATGACTGCAACTTGCATCGTTTTATACAATAAAAATAAATACGACCTTTGGGGTGTCAGTGCCCCTTTAAGCTTCTTCAGTGACACATCCTGCCGCTGAGTGAACACGGAGGAAATGGCTTCGAGGGCTTTGCTACCAAACTCGCCCACCGTTAACACAACAAAACCTCCATCTTTGTCAGCGGCGAGGACTGACAACCGCCGTTCTTTCAGAATAGAGGCCACGCGCTTAACCGGCACGTGAGACATTGTCTGACTGTTATGAGGGAGCACATCAACACCCTCGGAAATGCATCTCTCAACCTCGTCCACCGGAGCACACCTAGATACCGCCCGGACAAGGCCAAGTAATTCCGGTGCAGTCATCCTTGGCTCAACGGCAAACTTTAGTCTTAAAGAGAGCACACGTCTAGCGTCATCAGGGAGGTCCACTTCACTCACGGTCTTGACGTCTCCAGTAGCCGCAGGACGCCTCTTGGGTACGCTGCTGCAAAGTCGCTGTAACGACAGCTGCCAAAGACACTCCGTGGTTCGGTCCACGATGATGACGACCTAACATGAAACTTACGTTTTTCGAGAATTTAAGCAAGAATCGGTAACACAGAAATCGGGTGGTAGTCTTTAATCTGATTTGCTGCTCCACCTTTGAACAAGGGCCTTACAATGGCGGTTTTTAGTTCTTGTGGAATACCGCAACCCATAATAAAAGCATTAAGCATACGAAGAAGCACGTGTTTGATAACCTTGGTTTAACAGTAGCAATAACAATAACAATAACAGCAATAACAGTAACAATTATAATAATGAATATTAAGACGGGATGTGATGCAGCGTCGAGCTAGATTCGATCGCTCGCCGCCGTTTTGGGTGCCGCGGCAACTCCAGTATCACAACTTCGGGAGCGAGACATAACAGAACGAAGATGAAACTCACGCCGTGCCGCGAATTCCTCGTAAACAGCCCTATCAAATTAAAAAAAAAAAAAAAAAAAAAAAAACGCTTCGAAGTAAAAGAAAAAAAAAAAGGAATGAAGTGAAATATTGGATTGTTTGGCGGAAACGCTCAGAGCCTGAATAGCTTGCTCGTTTAGCACGTGCTATAGAAAGTGCTAGACGATCAAGCTATCCACACTTCTTCTATAGGAGAAGAGCGCGTCGTTGGCGTCTGCTCGATTATCTGTTGTGACTCCACGGGAGTAACCGGGCATCTACTCAGGAAGAGGCGAGGCCGGCACTCGCGTTTCTAAATTCCAAAGCATTTAAAAACGAGAGTGGCAGCCCCTCGCGTCTTGCGAAGAATTGCAATATTATAAAGTGTGTCCCCCGAGAATGTTAATATCCTTCATACTATAAATATATACCATATCTTGAAGAGCTGACATACTTCTTTGCGCCCGTGTTCGCGAAATGCGCGATAGAAAAAATGTACATTATGGCCTGTTTGGAAATGATTGCAAATATACAAAATACTTCGGATAAAAATGTCATGTTTTTTAGTAAAAAAAATGAACTACGCATCGTCAAACGCGTAGTTCTCGACCAAATGTAGCGCGAGCGGCCGAAACCAGACGCCAAAGTTAAAAAAAAAGTTTAATGTATCGGAACTTTACAACGGTAAAATGGTGGCCGAAAACGCCTATGAATACATGGAAGTATCCAAGAGAATGGGGGCGCTGCCGAGCACAACGAGCTTAAACACAAAATCGCAAATATATGGTTGTGCTACTCGAAAAAATACGTGGACAGGAAGGTATAAACGACTTTTCGGGCGGACGCCCTTCTTCAAGAAAGGCGTCCGCCCGAAAGGTCGTGTATATCTTCCTGTCCACGTATTTTTTCGAGTAGCACAACCATATATTTGCGATTTCGCGAATGCATGGACCTGAATGGCGCAAACTATGGAGAATAAGCACCATTTTCCCATTGAAAGGTTCAGAAAATCACTTTACTTTTGGATAAGATAATGGTTAGTTCTGAAACCGGAGCCTGGTACGGACCGCTAGCGCTACATTTCATTTGGGCGGACACTGGGCATTCGACGATTGATTTTTGCGGTGAAAAAATCTCCGGCACTTTGTTATGTGGCGCGCTGTAGATGTCGCTGTTAAGCCTGCTAATAGCTAAACTTCGTTAATTATGATCTCGCAGAAAAACGAGCACCTTGAAACCTGTGAACAGGCTTTGATTGGATGTGCTTTTAAAGCGTTTGGATGCAACGAGAAAGTGAGTATATTGTGTTTCACAACATAAACGTATGTTATAGTGCCAATACTTTAGCTGGATTAAGACACGTATATGCATATATAAAAGATTTCTTGTCATTCATTTCCAACAACTCTATTTCTTTTTAGTCATTCATTTTGCCTTCAGTTTATACGTTTGAAGATAAGCGCTCGTACTTTCCTTAAACCCCGACAAATATGTGAAAAATATTTAGACTAATATACCTTGCTAGCGAGAAAGCATATGGCTAAATATAGTGTTTTTTGGTTGTCGGCACCTCAAAAATGCTCGTTGTTAACGAAGCATATGTCAGTTGTCGGGCCCAAATGGGGCAACGCGCCTATCTATAATAAAGGAGAAACATCTTATGGCTTGCAAATAAATTGAACTTCAACTTGAACTTTATTTTCCAGGGGAGAGGGGGAGGGAGAGAAAAAAGCAGTCTGTTGTCGCTTGACGGAGTTCCTTCTAAACTCACGCAAGTTTTAAATACTCTGTCTAGGGAAACCAAGCGACTTTGTTAAGCTGTGTGTGTATAAAAAAATGGGATGGTGGTTCTCCGGAAATTTTTTCAACGACAAATTTCATTTTCATATCCTTTGCGATTTTTATATTGCTAATCCGTAACCACTAGATATTGCTCCTATAACAAGCTTTTTTCAACAACCGTTTTAAGGCTCCAAGGAAAGATATGCAGGAACACGAGAAGGACCCACACAATGCACTTCTTAATCAAGTGATCCTTGTGAGTATACGTTTTTTTTTTTTTTTTACAGCGAAGCTCTTTATGGTTAGGCTTCCGTGAATCTTTCGTGTGCGTCAACAAATATTTATTCATCCATCATATTTAATACTTAACAATATATTATATGCTACAAAAATTTTATTTCCCATTCGAAATGCATGAGTGTCGGAAGAAAGAAAAAAATGAAAGCCGTTTACAACTCCCTGTAACAACGAATTAGAGCGCAGCTCTTGAGGAGGAGGAGGGAAGGGTACTGGGGGGTGAAGTGACCTGGGGGGGTCACATGACCTTGGGGAGTCACGTGACCATGCCGATGATGTCATCAGTGACGTCACTGATGACGTCATCAGTGACGATGACGATGCGGACTCCGACGACGTCATCAGCGATGATGACGATGACGATGCAGATGTCGGTGACGTCATCAGTGACGTCACTGATGACGTCATCTGTGATGATGACGATGCGGATGCCCCCCGAAGTCACGTGACACCCCCAGGCCACGTGACCCCCGCCGAGGTCACGTGACCTCCCCGATGACGTCATCGTCACTGATGACGTCACCGGCATCCGCATCGTCATCGTCATCATCACTGATGACGTCATGTGACGTCACTGATGACCTCGCCGGTATCCGCATCGTCATCGTCATCATCACTGATGACGTCATCAGTGATGTCACTGATGACGTCATCTGTGATGATGACGATGACGATGCGGATGCCCCCCCGAAGTCACGTGACACCCCCGGCCACGTGACCTCGGCGGGGGTCTCGTCATCGTCATCGTCATCACCGGCGATGACGATGACGTCATCGTCACTGATGACATCACCGGCATCCGCATCGTCATCGTCATCATCACTGATGACGTCATCAGTGACGTCACTGATGACCTCACCGGCATCCGCATCGTCATCGTCATCATCACTGATGACGTCATCAGTGACGTCACCGGCATCCGCATCGTCATCGTCATCAGTGATGATAACGATGAGGATGCGGATGCCGATGACGTCATCGGTGAGGTCACGTGACCTCGGCGGGGGTCACGTGACCTTGGGGGTGGTCACGTGACCTGGGGGTGTCACGTGACTTCGGGGGGGGGGTCACGTGACTTCAGGGGGTCACGTGACTGGGTCACGTGACCTTGGGGTGACCTTGGGGGTCACGTGACCTTGGGATGACCTTGGGGGCCACGTGACCTTGGGATGACCTTGGTTACGGCGACGCCGACGCCGACGGCGACGCCAACGGCGACGCCAACGGCGACGCCGACGGTGACGCCGACGCCGCTCAAGCCGGGAACGGGCCCCTAAGAGCTGCGCTCTAAAACTCAGGGCTCGTACCGGCCTCTGTTTGTTGTCGTTCCAAACTCTTGCGTGCCTAGTTTCCTTTCCTTCCGCCTGGTGGCGGTCCCGTCGCACGTGTCTATTTTCCTCCGGCTTCTCGGGGCGGCGATAGTCCTCAACATGTGTGTGCGTACATTTCGTCACGACGACCACCGATCAAGGGAGTAAATGTGTTCGTACCTTTGTTCAAGATACTGTGCCACGTCTGTGTCGTGTGCTAAACAGCATCGCTGGTCAGTGGTCATCCACCTTTACAGAGTGGAATAGCTCATGATTTTTTTTCTGTTGTGCTCCTTGTATAGGCGGTTAGCGGTGTATCTAGTGCACTCGTATACAAGGCGTTCCGCGAGCCGTTGGCCAAATTGCATCCGCGAAAAGTACGCATTGCACTGAAAGCCTTTTTTCACGTTGGTGTTTGCCGAGAGGCATATCTAGAAAGAACCTAAGAACGTCTGGTATAATTAAATTCTTCATAAAATTCCAGTAATAAACTATTTAAATACTAAATTTCACGTAATGGTTCCATTTATAATCTTTCCTTGCATCATCGAAAACCACGAAATCAGCATGCTTTACTCATTTTGAACGCATTTCTGGGTTTCGGTTTTCTGTCGGAGTGCATGTTCACGCCTGAGGTTCTGCTACCCGTGACACAATCGCGCAACTATCTTATCGTCTATTTCTCTTGTAGAGAGAGAAGTGTGGTGCGAGTCGGCGAACTAAAACGCTGTGCTGTTCGAATGACAAGAGAAGAATACGCTTTGATCCTTAAGTTGGCTTTGGCCGTAGTGGACCAGGACCGCTGTTCCGGAAATGTCTTAATAAATATCATTTGAAAAAAATTAACATTTAAACGCTTACAAACTGAGTGTTTTTTCGAATGCTGTAAAATGCTTTCCATGCCATATGGTCCTGCATCGAATATGCGGCGAAGAACCGGCGAACTTCACCTGGCGGAGCGTTAGCTCAGCGCGCGACGCGACGGACACTATTTCGAACCATATGCGAGCGAACGCGGCCGGGCGAAATTCGTGTCTTGGTTCGCTCTATAGAGTTAGCCGTTAGTTGTTTCTGATGGTGCCTACAAAGTTTCTAATTCAATAAATACTTTCAAATTTGCCCATAAAAGGTTTATTACTTCAATGTAATGACAACCTTGCTATACGAAACGCTATTCATTTTCCCGAAAAGGCCATTTGGTAGACACCAATAAGACAAACTTATCGTTCTGTGCGGTGCGTACTTTTCGCAGCAGTAACGATTTGTCCCGCTTTTCGAGAAATAGCTTTTATATAGCATTTCTACTTCTCTCGGTGTCAACTTTCGCCTTTTCTCAGTCTCGGGTTGCCTCAAAATATTCAGTATACACCAGCTCACCTGCGCTCTTACGTTCTGTTCTGAGAGTATAAGTGCGAGGTACTGATGATTCACATTTGCCAATTCGTTTGAAGGGGCTGCAAGAAAGAATCGAGAACCTGGAACGGCCCCTCACCGCCCTCGTTAAAAAACTTCGTAATCCGGATTCGTTGGGATCCAGTCAATGATCGCCGACCGCAAGAAACTACACTGTGCAGTGTTGTGCAAGGAAAATTGTCGATATGAAGGGTATTGTGAAGGCCTTTAAATGTCTAGTGGTGGTCTAATTTTTTTAGAGGTACCACAATTGTTTTTTTTTCTTGCAGCAAAACTTTTGACAAAATAAAGTTGTAAAGAGTTCTCACTGCTTCGATCTGTCTTTTGATGCGCTCGCGTGAAAGTAGTAGTTTTGTGATGAATTCGGCTACATCACGCTGACGGGGGGTTCCTCGTCAACAACCACGGTTCACGTGGAAAGCACATGCCATTGGCTTTTGGCACCAGCTAGCACGGACCCTGGCCAAAGGTATCAAATGCGACGGGGGAGGAAAGAGAGACCCACCACGACCAAGCCTGCAGTATAGGCTCGACGACCTGGCTAGTGGTCGGAGCGGACGCTAATTTCGTCCGCACATATGTTGGCGATTTAATATTAAGTTAGATCAGTTATGAGACATTAGAAACTAAATTAGTTTTTAAAGCACAAAAGGAAAGATGTTGCATTCTAGACCCAGCTTTTCCAAACGTTCGGGCTAAAAGGACGAGTCAAATAGAAATGCTCTTTCATTTAAACAAAAGAAAATAAAACAATTGCTTGATAAGCATTATATGCAGATATTTAGATTACGGCGAAAATAAAAAAGAATATTCTTGGGTGGAAACACTTTTACAGCGTAAACTACGTTTACAAATATCTACAATACGAAATTAGACCGCAGCTCTTGAGGAGGAGGAGGCGAGGGTATGCACCTCCTCCTCCCCCCTCCTCTTTCCATCCTTGTCTCCCCTCCTTTCCTTCTTTCCCCTATTCCTCATCCTCCTACTTCCAGGCTCCTTTCCTCCTTCGTACCTTTCCATCCTCCTCCTGCATACGCTCCCCTCCTCCCACTAAATTTATCTGAAAAATTAACGTCACGTCGCTTAAACATCAATTCAATTCCCAGCTAAATTTAGTGGGGAATCGAATTGCTGTTGAGTTCACGTGACGCCAATATTCAAGCTACATCCAGCGGAGAAGTTGAATTTTTTCATAGGTGACGTGACACCCAATCATGTGACATTATTTTCCCCGCTAAGTTTAGCGGGGAAACTGATTTGGTGTTGTGGTCACGTGACGTCAAGTTTCTCGCTAAATCTAGCGCAGAAACTGAATTTGTTCATAGGGGACGTGATACCATGACATGAGATGTCTTTTTCCCCGCTAAATTCAGCGGGTAATTGGATTGCTCTTGATGTCACGTGACGTCAGTTTTTCCGCTAAATTTAGCGCGGTTACGTCGACGGCGACGGCGAAGGGCGACGCTGACGCCGCTCACTCCGGAAACGGGCGCCTAAGAGCTGCGCACTAAAATGCTGGCGAAGCTAAGGTGTTCTTATACGCATTTCTTGAGCTATTGCCGAGCTACCCAGTTGTTTTATAAAGCCCGAGTAAAAAAGAAATGAAAGGGGTTTGCAAATCTCACTAACGCGAAATTAGAGGGCAGCTCTTGAGGAGGAGGAGGGGAGGGGGGCGGAGGGGAGGGTACGCCCCTCCTCCTCCATACAATTCAGATTGGTGTTGAGGTCATGTGGCGTTAATTCCCCCGCTAAATCTAGTGGAGAAACTGAATTTCTTCATGGGGGACGTGACGCAAAGCCGTCTGACGTTATCACCTCCCTAAATTTTGCGGAAAAAACCGACGCCACGTGACCTCAACACCAATTCAATTTCCCGCTAAATTTAGCGGGGCGGCTACGCCGACTCCGACACCGACGTTGCGAAACCCGGAAGCGGGCGCCTAAGGGCTGCGCACAAAAAACAACTTTGTGAGTCAACTGATTTTAGAAAGCAATTATCGTCAGCATGGCGCTCCTAACGCGCATGATAACGATTGACCAATGATCATTGATTGACATGTTCAATAATCTCGCTATTCAGGCGGTCTATATTTCTTATTGCTGCTACGGACATTCCCCTCGGAAAGGTACCCCCTAGAGTACATCACGACCGCAAATATCTAAAGATTGCGCTGCTCCTGGGTGACAAACTATCACGTATAGACCGACACTCTTTTTACAAACAAGCCCGCGCTTGCCCAGTAACCAGATTCCAGTGAGGTGAAGCGTCTGCGCATGCGCCGTGGCGACGACAGCGCCGCCGCAGAGGAGTGACGTCAGAGCCGCGTGTTGGTCTATAAAGTCGTAGAAAGTTAGATAAGAAATTACGAGCTTTAGTTTGGCGTTGGTGCTTGTTTTCGTCCTCCGACCTTTTGCTAGCTTTAAGAGCAATCCGCGGTAATGTCCACGCCATCGGACAATCGGAACCTCATAAAAGAAAAGAAAAAAAAAACAAAAAAAAAACAGTGATATCTTACTAATTATGTTGAATTAACCTGAGACTAGGGTAGAGAAGAAACATCAAAACGTAGAAGGGACAGAAAATAGACTGGACGACGTCTCAAACACAGCTGACGTCGTCGTCCTGTCTATTCACCAGCTCGTCTGCACCCTCACGATTTTTTCTGAGATATCTTACAAATGTAAGCACGTCCGGTAACCCCCCAAAAGCACCCCCCCCCCCCCCCCCCCCCAATGCGAGTTTTCCACAATAACGAGACGAAAGTGCATGTATTTACCCAGTTTGACCCCGAAAATTCTGTCTTTATATCGGTATGTCCGTATTAACTCGTTCGTAATTAGGAGGCATGACGTAGTTCCCGGAAACCGCACATTTTCAATAATGCTTAATGCCGTTGCACAATCAGTCATGAAACAAACCAAAAAGGAAACAAATGCGACAAACAATTTACACACTCAAGGGTGGCTTGAACCTCGCAAGATTACCTAAATTCTTAAAGCTAAAAAAGCGTTTGGCGATTGTTCATTTTGCGTGAAGCCTCGGGGTGACAATGTTGGGTCTGGCATACATCGTCTACTTTGATTGGCCCCCGGATCATTTTCCTAATGTGTGCATCTGGCCGTTTCTTTTCGTCGAGAGCCTCCCGCGGTTTCAAGGTCATCTGACTCAGCGAGCCTGGCGCAATCATCGCTTCGGAAGCACGCCTGCCCCGCGAAAGCACCAGACGGGCGCCGTGATATAGCCAGACTTTAACGTGTACAAGTCTGGATATAGCCTCCGAAGAGAGAAAACAACGTCTCAAGTTTCACGACCAAAACACCAGGGCACGATCCGGGGCGATGAAATCATCAGGACGCCTTCATTCAACGCTTAGATACGAAGAGTCGAATGTCGGCACGCCACGTCTCGGCCCCGGACGATGTTTTGACCCGCTGCGTGGATACCGACGAGCAGGTGTTTTGGTGAGACTCTCGGCGCCGTCTAGACCGACGGTGAAGTGTTTACTGCGGCTTAGTGTGCGTAATAATGGAATGTGGGGCGGTGTTTGAACAGTACACTTTTCTGTGATTGGCCGACCATCCGCCGATGTAGGGGTTCTCCCTAGAGACCTAGGGAGAAGCGAGTGCTTAAAATGAGCGAACTTTGACAAGTAAATGTCTTCTCTGTTCTTGAACCAACTGTACATCATGTAAATAAACAGTGTACTTTTCGACAAAGAATCGTGACTTATGGTTGTCCCCGCTGAGCTCTAGCCCGGTGCCTGGCTCGAGTCGCCCCTCCACCACCACGGACCCCGCACGGTCAAAACAGTACCTTATTGTGCATCCGCCAGCGTAACTAGATAAACGCAGTTATGGAACTGCCCATGGACGCTGCTTCATGCTAGCAGTTCCCCTCTCTCTCCCCCCCCCCCCCCCCCCCCCCCCCCCCGTTCGCCTCCCGTCGCTCCACGCGCCACCGTTTTGGGGGTGGCTGCAATGGTAACCACAGTCTACTGAAGCTCAGCATCTAGATGACACTTCACCATAACGTCGCCTGAAGTAACTAACTGTACTTGCTCCGCTTGTAGAGCAGACTATCGCAACGGTCAGAAATTTTTTTTTAATTTTTTATTTTTTTATTTTAAATATTGCGGGAAGAAGTGAACTTCGCTCTTGCAGGAGGCGCGACGGGCGCGACGACATGAGGCGCGGTTCACCGCCTATGCACCGTTGTGCGCCCCTCAGATTCTACAAAAGCTCGCGTGCCCCGGCTTGGTCGTCGTGGCTCTCGTGTCGTCTGCTTGCTCACAGATGTTTTAAAACTGCGCTCGCGTTATAAAAATAACGCAATTAATGACATCTAAGTGGCACACACAATGTCCAAAGGTTCAAGAAACTTTCTGCTAGTCGTCATACTTCTGTGCAAGATCTAGATTTCGCGAGCGCAAAGAGAAACGTATGTCCCAAGCATGGCTTTACTCGAAACGGCTTCGCCCCGAGCGAAGTAGTTACATTTAGCGCATGAGACTTCTTCTCCGCCAATGAGCAGTTGGTGGCGAATAGAAAAGAAAGGCGATAGTCTGGCTCCGCCATTTGGGTATTCATTCTAGCGTCTCCGAAGATTACAGTTTTGAATCGCAGTTTGTGGATGGTGCTGCGATCGACTATGGTGACCTTTGGGAGGAGAGGGGGGGTTCGTTTATGCGTAAGTTCCGCAACCACGGTGCCCGAAACTAAGTTGATCCAGTTGGCTTCCGCGGCCTTTGCTTTCGCGTTATCACAGCTTTGATAAGAGCGTTAATCGATGAGGGAGGCGGCGTTAGACAACTTTCTGTTTCGTGCAGTGCCTGAAATGGCCTCCAAGGGACGTTCGAAGGCGTAAGTAACTTCTTGGGTTCTACGTTTTCGTGTCGGGAAGAGATACAGTTTTAGTCAGGGTTCCAAAAAGGGGGTAAGAAAGGTTGTTTGTGGTTTGTTAATGTCGCAAGGTTTTAACAATAGTCACAGGATATGTGTACTGGGCGTGGCCTGCCAGGCGTAGATACATAAAGAGAAGAATCACCATTCTTGTGACGAAACACGAGTCGTATTGAAGTTTAGTGCTTTACTGCAGATAATAAAGTTGGGCTGTGATGGTGCCTCCGTAATAGCTGTTTGAACCCGCCTTTAGGGGGCGGCGAGCCTCTGCAGTGTGGTACTTGTTTTTTTTCCTCGGAAACTCTCGTGGAGCATAAATGCCATTGGTGGTTGACTCTTGTCGCCTTTAATCATAGAACGTCTTTTTGGGGACGTTTTTCATTGAGTGGTGGGGCCAGGTATAATAGG